ACTAAAGTCTTTGCAAAGTCAGAGTAAAGTCCCGGTAAAATCCAAGTGAGCTGGGATTGAGATCGGAGCAAAGTCCTAGCAAAGCTGGAGTAAGATCAGAGTAAAGTCTGAATAAAGTCCAAATAAAGTCAGAATAAGGTGGGCGTAAAGTCAGACTAAAGCCGGAGTAAAGTCGGAGTAAAGTCCGGGTAGGTTGTGAGTAAGCTCGGGGCAGGGTCAGGTGAGGAGGGCGGCGCGTGGCGGGGCTGCGGCTTGGCGCTGAGGTGGCTCTGCTGAGTAGCTGTGGTGTAAAGCTGGAGTGTGTCCCCAGTGCCCTCCTGTGTGTATCTCTGGAGTAGTTTATGCCTCGGTCCCTTCTCCCTCCCTCCCTCCCTCCCTCCCTCCTCGCCCGGGGGTGTTTCGGTGGAGTATCCCTGGAGTATCCCCTGAGTATCCCCGGAGTGTCCCCGCGGCGTGGTGCAGAGTAAGGCTGGAGTAGCGCTGCTGGAAGGCAGGAGTAACCCTGGAGGATCTCTGGGGCGTCCGAGGAGTGTCCCCAGAGTGTTACGAGTAACCCTGGAGTATCTCTGGAGTACCTTGAGGAGATACTCGGAGTGAGGAGCACACTTGGGGTACCTCCGGTGTGGGTGAGGCGCACCCCGAGTGCGTCAGGAGTAAACCTTGAACAAGTCAGGAGGAAACCTTGAGCAAGTCAGGAGTAAACCTTGAGTGAGTCAGGAGTAAACCTTGAACAAGTCAGGGATACACCCAGAGTAAGTCAGCAGTACCCAGAGTAAGTCAGGAGTACTCCCAGAGTAATTCAGGGATACACCCAGAGTAATTCAGGGATACACCCAGAGTAACTCCGGAGCACCCCGTGAGTACCCCCAGCCTACTCACACCCTGAGTAAGCTCTGAGTAAGCTCTGAGTAAGCTCTGAGTACCCCTGAGTAACCCCCAGCTCCTCCCCCTCGCTCTCCCCACCCCCATTCTCACGTGAGTATCTTCCCACCGCCCCTCCCCGCGTAACCTGTGAGTAACCCGTGAGTAACCCGTGAGTAACCCGTGAGTACCCCCCGAGTAAGCCGCGTGTCTCTCTGTGCCGCGGGCAGTGCTGAACCAGCTGGAGGAGCTGCTGAGCGACATGAAGGCGGACGTGACGCGCCTGCCGGCCACGCTGTCCCGCATCCCGCCCATCGCCGCGCGCCTGCAGATGTCGGAGCGCAGCATCCTCAGCCGCCTGGCCAGCAAGGGCACCGAGAGCCACCCCCCGCCCGTAAGTGTCACCCTGTCACACTGTCACATTGTCACCCTGTCACACTGTCACCGTGTCACCCTGCCACCCTGTCACCCTGTCACACTGTCACACTGTCACACTGTCACCTTGTCACCCTGTCACACTGCCCCTGACACCTCAGCATCCTCAGCCGCCTGGCCAGCAAGGGCACCGAGAGCCACCCCCCGCCTGTAAGTGTCACCCTGGGACACTGTCACTGTGTCACCCTGTCACATTGTCACCCTGTCACATTGTCACACTGTCACACTGTCACCCTGTCACACTGTCACCATGGTGTCCTCAGCCGCCTGGCCAGCAAGGGCACCGAGAGCCACCCTCCTCCTGTAAGTGTCACCCTGTCACATTGTCACATTGTCACACTGTCACACTGTCACCCTGCCACCCTGCCCTGGCATTGTCCCCTGACACCTCAGCATCCTCAGCCGCCTGGCCAGCAAGGGCACCGAGAGCCACCCCCCGCCTGTAAGTGACACCCGGGGACATTGTCACATTGTCACCCTGTCACACTGTCACCGTGTCACCCTGTTACACTGTCACCCTGTCACCCTGCCCCTGACACCTCAGCACCCTCAGCCGCCTGGCCAGCAAGGGCACCGAGAGCCACCCTCCTCCTGTAAGTGACACCCTGGGACACTGTCACCCTGTCACCCTGTCACCCTGTCACCCTGTCACACTGTCACCCTGTCACATTGTCACCCTGTCACCCTGTCACACTGTCACACTGTCACACTGTCACCATGTCACTCTGTCACACTGTCACTGTGTCACACTGTCACACTGTCACCCTGTCACACTGTCACCTTGTCACCCTGTCACACTGTCACACTGTCACCCTGTCACGCTGTCACCCATCACCCTGTCACACTGTCACACTGCCACCCTGTCACCCTGTCATGCTGTCACCCTATCACCGTGTCACACTGTCACTCTGTCACCCTGTCACCCTGTCACACTGCCACCCTGTCACACTGTCACACTGTCACCCTGTCACACTGTCACCCTGTCACACTGTCACACTGTCACCGTGTCACACTGCCACGCTGTCACCCTGTCACACTGTCACTGTGTCACACTGTCACCCTGTCACACTGTCACACTGTCACTGTGTCACACTGTCACCCTGTCACACTGTCACACTGTCACGGTGCCACACTGTCATACTGTCACACTGTCACACTGTCACTCTGTCACACTGTCGCACTGTCACATTGTCCCCTGTCACCATGGTGTCCTCAGCCGCCTGGCCAGCAAGGGCAGTGACCCCAGGAGGTGACCCTGGAGGTGACTCTGGAGGTGACAGCAGGGGGGTGGCACTAGGAAGTGACCCCGGACGGGTGACCCCTGGGTGGTGACCCGAGGTGACCCCAGGAGGTGACAGTGGGAGGGTGACCCCGGAGGTGACCCCAGGAGGTGACCCCAGGAGGTGACAGTGGGAGGGTGACCCCGGAGGTGACCCCAGGAGGTGACCCCGGAGGTGACAGTGTAGGGGTGACACCAGGAGGTGACCCTGGGAGGTGACAGCAGGGGGGTGGCATTAGGAAGTGACCCTGGGCAGTGACCCGAAGGTGACACTGGAGGTGACCCAGGAGGTGACAGTGGGAGGTGACACCATGGTGTGACCCTGGGCAGTGACCTCAGAGCTGACCCCTGTCCCTGTCCCTGTCCCCATCCCTGTCCCTGTCCCTGTGTCCCTGTCCCTGTGTCCCTGTCCCTGTCCCTGTGTCCCTGTCCCCGTGTCCCCATCGCTGTCCCCAGACCTTCCCACCGGGGCCCTACGCGACCCCCCCGAGCTACGGGGGCACCTTTGGGCCCCCCCCGGCCGGAGCGCTGCCCCACCCCGGGGGGGCCAACTACAGCCAGATGCCACCGGGCTCCTTCATCTCCGGTGAGACGGGTCCCAAAAACGGGGTCCCCAAAATGGGACATGGGGGGGGGGCCCCTAAAATGGGACATGGGGGGGGTCCTAAAATGGGACATGGGGGGGCCCCAAAAATGGGACATTCATCGGGGGGATCCCAAAAATGGGACATGGGGGGGCCCTAAAATGGGACATGGGGGGGCCCTAAAATGGGGACATTCATTGGGGGGGGGGTCCCCAAAAATGGGACATGGGGGGCCCCAAAAATGGGGACATTCATTGGGGGGGCCCCAAAAATGGGGACATTCATTGGGGGGGGCCCAAAAATGGGACATCGGGGGGGTCCCCAAAAATGGGACATGGGGGGGGCCCTAAAATGGGGACATTCATCGGGGGGGTCCCCAAAATGGGACATGGGGGGGGCAAACTGGGGGATACTGGGGGGACAAAACGAGAAACTGGGGGGGGGCTCCCCAAAAATGGGACATCGGGGGAGCCCCAAAAATGGGGACATTCATTGGGGGGGGGTCCCCAAAAATGGGACATGGGGGGGGGGGGTCTCCCTGAGGGTGTCACTGGCTGGGGGAGGGGGACGGGGGGGTCCCTGGGGGTGTTTCGGGGGTCCTTGGAGGGATCATTTGGGGAGGGGTCCTTGGGGGTCCTGGGGGGGTTCCCATGGGTGGGGTGGGGTCCCATGGGTGGGGGTGGGGGTCTCTGGGGGGGATTTCTGTGGGTGTGGGGGGGTTCCCATGGGTGGGTGGGGGGTGGTCCCTGACCCCCCCATGTCCCCCCAGCCTCGAACGGCCCCGCGGTGCTGGGTCCCATGGGTGGGGGTGGGGGTCTCTGGGGGGGGTCCCATGGGTGGGTGGGGGTCCCATGGGTGGGTGGGGAGGGTCCCTGACCCCCCCGTGTCCCCCCAGCCTCGAACGGCCCCGCGGTGCTGGTGAAGCGGGGTGGGGGTGGGGGTCTCTGGGGGGGATTTCTGTGGGTGTGGGGGGGTTCCCATGGGTGGGGGATCTCTGGGGTGGGGGTCCCTGCCCCCCTGACCCCCGTGTCCCCCCAGCCTCGAACGGCCCCGCGGTGCTGGTGAAGCGCGAGGCGGAGGCGCTGGAGCGGAAGGAGCCCAGGGGGGGGGAGGTGATCTGCATCGACGACTGAGGGGGGGGCGGGGCCGGGGGGGCCCCCCCGCCCCTCCCCCCACTCGCCAACCCCACCCCGGGGTGGCCCCGAGCCCGGCGGGGGGAGGGGGCGGGTTTGGGGGGGGTGGGGGAGGGGCGGGGGGGTTATAAATATGGAATTCTATAAATATGGATTTATGGGGGGGGAGGGGCGCTCCCCGCCCCTCCCCCCCGCTCGGGCTCGTGTTTAACCGCAGCGAATAAACCGGAACCTTCCTTGGCTCCCGTGGGGATGGTCGTGGCTCCCGTGGCCGTGGTCACCTGGGGGTGGTGGCCACCAGGAGTTGGGGTTTGGCTACTGGCGGGGTGGGCGTGGCTACCATGGGGATGGTTCTGGCTACCGTGGAGAGGGTTCTGGCTACCGTGGGGATGGTCATGGCTACTGTGGGGATAGTCGAGGCTACCATGGAGAGGGTTCTGGCTACTGTGGAGAGGGTTGTGGCTACCATTGGGGTGGTTCTGGCTACCATGGAAATGGTCGTGGCTACCATGGGATGGTCATGGCTACCATGGGGGTGGTTGTGGCTACTGTGGAAATGGTCATGGCTACCATGGGGATGGTCGTGGCTACCATGGAGAGGTTTGTGGCTATCATGGAGATGGTTCTGGCTACCATGGGGGTGGTCGTGGCAACCACGGAGATGGTCATGGCTACCATGGGGGTGGTTGTGGCTACTGTGGAGAGGGTTGTGGCTACTGTGGTTGTGGCTACCATGGGGGTGGGCGTGGCCGGGAAGGGAATTCCCGTTTTTTGAAGCTTTTTTGGGCCGTTTTGCCCAAATTTCGATATTTGGGGGGACGGGGGCGGGGCTGGAGGACTGAGGGACGATAGAGACGCGCGCTGGAGGACTGAGCGTCACTTCCGGGTGAGGGAGGAACCATAGAGATGCGGAGTGAGGGGGACTTCCGGTTCCGGGGAGCTAAAACCATAGAGACGAACACTGGAGGACTGAGCGTCACTTCCGGGTGAGGGAGGAACCATAGAGATGCGGAGTGAGCGGAACTTCCGGTTCCGTGGAGCTACAACCATAGAGACGAACACTGGAGGACTGAGCGTCACTTCCGGTCCGCCGAACCAACGAGTTCACCACCCTCTACCCACGTGATCCTTCAGCCGGCTCTGATTGGTGGATGAGTCGGCGACGAGCAGCACTGAACCAATGAGAGAGCGGGGTGGGTACTGAGGGCGGGTCACGTGACCGGAAGGGAAAGCGGAAGCGTCGCCATGGTGAGAACTGGGATGGGGAACTGGGAGAGACTGGGATATACTGGGATATACTGGGAGGGACTGGGAGGGACTGGGGGGGACTGGGAGGGACTGGGAGGGGACTGGGGAGTCCCCGGGGGTCCCTCAGGGGGAGGCTCTGGGAGTTCCTGGTGCTCACTGGGATGACAGCGGCCTGCACTGGTTTATAGTGGGTTGTACTGGTTTATACTGGTTTATACTGGTTTGTACTGGTGTTTGCGGGTCGCAGGCGGCGGCGCTGGCGCAGGGCCTGGAGCGGGTGCCGGCTCAGGCCGGGTACCTGGTGATCAGCGACGGCGCCGTGCTGGCCGTGAGGGGGCCCGAAACTGGGGGGGAGGGGCCCTAAAATTGGGGGTGGGATCCCCAAAATTAGGGGAGGGGGTCTCCAAAACTGGGGGGAGGGGGCCCTAAAAATGGGGGAGGGGTGCCAAAAATTGGGGGGAGGAGTCCCGAAAATTGAGGGGGGGGGTCCCCAAAATTGGGGGAAGGGGCCCTAAAAATGGGGGAGGGGAGCCAAAATTGGGGGGAGGGGGTCCCCAAAATGGGGGGGAGGGGTTCCTAAAATTGGGGGAGGGGGGAGACAAAAAATCCGGGGGAGGGGGTCCTTAAAAATGGGGGGAGGAGTCCCTAAAATTGGGGGGAGGGGGGAGCCAAAATTGGGGGGAGGGGTCCCTAAAAATGAGGGAGGGGGGAGCCAAAAAATCTGGGGGAAGGGTCCCTAAAAATGGGGAAGGGGTCCCTAAAAAATGGGGGAGGGGGGAGCCAAAAATTGGGGGGAGAGGTACCTAAAAAATGGGGGAGGGGAGCCAAAAATTGGGGGGAGGGGTCCCTAAAAAATGGGGGAGGGGTCCCTAAAAATGGGGGAGGGGGGAGCCAAAAAATCTGGGGGAGGGGTCCCTAAAACTGGGGGAGAGGGGGAGCCAAAAAATCTGGGGGAGGGGTCCCTAAAATTGGGGGGAGGGGTCCCTAAAAAGTGGGGGAGGGGGGAGCAAAAATATCTGGGGGAGGGGTCCTTAAAATTGGGGGGAGGGGCCCTAAAAATGGGGGGAGGGGAGCCAAAAGTTTGGGGGAGGAGTCCCTAAAAATGGGGGGAGGAGTCCCCAAAATTGGGGGGAGGGGGCCCTAAAATTGGGGGGGGTCCCTAAAAAATGGGGGAGGGGGGAGCCAAAAAATCTGGGGGAGGGGTCTTTAAAAATGGGGGAGGGGGCCCTAAAATTGGGGGAGGGGTCCCCAAAATGGGGGGGAGGGGTTCCTAAAATTGGGGGAGGGGGGAGCCAAAAAATCTGGGGGAGTGGGACCTAAAATTGGGATCCCAAAATTGGGGGGAGGGGTCCCTGAAATTGGAGGAGGGGGGAGCAAAAATTGGGGGGAGGGGGGAAAATCTGGGGGGGCTTTGAAGCTTTTTTGGGGGTTCCTCAATTTGGGGAGGGGTCCCTTAAAACTGGGGGTTCCCAGGTGGGTTTTGGGGCATTTTTTGGGTTTTTTTTCCCTCTGGGAGGCTCCGATTTTTTGGGGGGATTCACAAGAATTCGGGATATTTTTGGGGGGTTCTCAGGTCATTTTTGGGGTGGGTTTTTGGGGCATTTTTTGGGATTTTTCTCCTTCTGGATCCCCCAATTTTTTTGTGATCTTTGAGTGCGAAATCCCAAAAAATTCTGGAGGATCCCCAGGAATTTTTGGGGAGTTCTCAAATCATTTTTTGGGGTGATTTTGCTGCATTTCGGTGCCGTTTTTTGGGGTTTTTTTAGGGGGATTTTTTTTGTTTTGTTCCCTGAGAATTCCCAAAAGCTTTTGGGGTTCCCAAATGTGGAATTTTCTCTGCGCAGTCCTCGGGGGACCTGGAGAACGACGAGCACACGGCCACGGTGCTGCAGGGGCTGGTGGCCACGGCGCTGGGGCTGCGGCTGCCCCGCGGCCACGAGCCGCCCTTCCGCCGCCTCTCGGGTGAGCTGCGGGCAGGCACGGCCCAAAACGGCCCCAAAATATCCCTAACGGCCCCAAAATGGCCTCAAAATATCACTAACGGCCCCAAAACGGCCCAAAACGGCCCAAAATTGACCAAAATTGCATCAAAATATCACTAATGGCCCCAAAATGCATCAAAATATCACTAACGGCCCCAAAACGGCAGAAAACGGCCCCAAAACAGCCCCAAAATGGCAGAAAACGGCCCTGAAACGGCCCAAAACTGCCCCAAAATATCACTAACGGCCCCAAAATTGCATCAAAATATCACTAACGGCCCCAAAATGGCAGAAAACGGCCCCAAAACGACCCAAAATGGCCTCAAAATATCACTAACGGCCCCAAAATGGCAGAAAATGGCCCCAAAATGGCAGAAAACGGCCCAAAATTGCATCAAAATATCACTAACGGTCCCAAATTGCATCAAAATATCCCTAACGGCCCCAAAACAGCCCAAAATTTAATCAAAATATCACTAACGGCCCCAAAATGGCATCAAAATATCCCTAACGGCCCCAAAATGGCATCAAAATATCCCTAACGGCCCCAAAATGGCATCAAAATATCACTAACAACCCCAAAATTGCATCAAAATATCCCTAACGGCCCCAAAACTGCCCAAAGCGGCCCAAAACAGCCTCAAAATATCCCTAACGGCCCCAAAACAGCCCCAAAACGGCCCAAAATTGCAACAAAATATCACTAACGGCCCCAAAATTGCCTCAAAATTGCATCAAAATATCACTAACGGCCCCAAAATGGCCTCAAAATATCACTAACGGCCCCAAAACAGCCTCAAACTGCCTCAAAATATCCCTAACGGCCCCAAAATTGCATCAAAATATCACTAACGGCCCCAAAACGGCCCAAAATTGCATCAAAATATCACTAATGGCCACAAAATGGCAGAAAACGGCCCCAAAATGGCCCAAAGCTGTCTCAAAATATCCCTAACGGCCCCAAAATTGCATCAAAATATCACTAACGGCCCCAAAACGGCACAAAATTGCCTCCAAATATCACTAACGACCCAAAATGGCACAAAACGGGCCCAGAATGACCCCAAATGTCCCAAAATGACACAAAATTAACTAAAATATCCCAAACGGCCCCAAAATGATCCCAGAGGTCCCAAAATTGCCTCAAAATATCCCAAACGGCCCCAAAACTGCCCCAGAATGGCCCCAAATGTCCCTAAATGGCCCCAGAATGGCCTCAAGTGGCCCAAAATGGCCCCAAATGTCCCCATGGGGGGTGGCCCTGTCCCTGCTGGCCCCAGGGGTGGCCCCAGGGTGGCCCTGGGGACCCGGGGGTGGCCCTGGGGTGGCTCTGAGGACACTGGGGGTGGCTCTGGGGACACTGGGGGTGGCCCTGGGGTGGCCCCAGGGACATGGAGGGTGGCCCTGGGGACACGGGGGTGGCTCTGGGGACATGGGGGTGGCCCTGGGGTGGCTCTGAGGTGGCTCTGAGGACACGGGGGTGGCCCTGGGGACACCGGGGGTGGCCCTGTCCCCACTGTCCCCACTGTCCCCGCTGTCCCCAGTGGTGTTTGGTGAGCACTCCCTCCTCGTCACCGTCTCGGGACAGAAACTCTTCGTGGTCAAGCGCCACCACCACGTCCAGGAGCCGGTGGCCGTGTGACAGATGTCCCCAGAGTGTCCCCAGAGTGTCCCCGGAGGTGGTGGCACCGCCCGCGGCCCCAAAGTGTCCCCAAAGTGTCCCCAGATCCCCCCGTGGGGACAATAAACGACATCCGAGGGTGGCTGTGGCGCTTTGTGACCTCCTTGGGGACATCAGGTGGCACCAGGTGACATCCAGGCCACCCTTGGGGACATCCAGACCCTCCTGGGGACATCCAGGCCACCCTTGGGGACATCCAGGTGACACCAGCAGGTGACATCCAGGTCTCTTTATTGGCAATAAATAACAGGGACAGAGGTGCCACCCTTGTCCCCAATGTCCCCAACCCGGGGGTGGCACTGCAGGTCCCCCCCCCCCTCCCCCCCATCCCACTTTGGCTCGGGGACACTTCCCCGATGTCCCCAAATGTCCCCAAATGTCCCCAAAATCCCGACCCCAAACGCGGGCACGGCTCCAGGCCGTGTCCCCAAGGTGTCCCCAAGGTGTCCCCAAGGCTCTGGGGTGGCCCTGTCCCCTTGGTCCCTGTCCGTGGCACTCTGGGGACACTGGGGGTGGCCCTGTCCCCACTGTCCCCCTGTCCCCAGTGTCCTGGAGGTGGCACTGGGGGTGGCCCTGTCCCCTGGTCCCTGTCCCCAGTGTCCCCAAGGCCCTGGAGGTGGCACTGGGGGTGGCCCTGTCCCCCTGGTCCCTGTCCCCAGTGTCCCCAAGCTGTCCCCAGTGTCCCAGTGCCGTCTGTGCCACCCCAGCGGTGTCCCCACAGTGTCCCCAAGATGTCCCCAGTGTCCCCACCATTGTCCCAGCGCTGTGTGTGCCACCCCAGCGGTGTCCCCACAGTGTCCCCAGTGTCCCCACCCTGTCCCCAGTGTCCCAGCACTGTCTGTGCCACCCCAGCAGTGTCCCCATGATGTCCCCAACGTCCCAGTGCTGTCCCCACTGTCCCCATGTTGTCCCCCCCTGTCCCCAACGTCACCGCAGGGGTGGCACTGTCCCCTCGTGTCCCCAGTGTCACCGCAGGGGTGGCACCACCAGCACTTTGCACTCCCCGTGTCCCCAGTGTCCCCTCGTGTCCCCAGTGTCCCCAATGTCACCGCAGGGGTGGTGCTGTCACCGCAGGGGTGGCACTGTCCCCAATGTCCCCAATGTCACCGCAGGGGTGGCACCACCAGCACCTTGCACTCCCCGTGTCCCCAATGTCCCCGCTGTCACCGCAGGGGTGGCACTGTCCCCAGTGTCCCCAATGTCACCGCAGGGGTGTCACTGTCCCCGCTGTCACCGCAGGGGTGGCACTGTCACCGCAGGGGTGGCACCACCAGCACCTTGCACTCCCCATGTCCCCAGTGTCCCCAGTGTCCCCAATGTCCCCAATGTCACCGCAGGGGTGGCACTGTCACCGCAGAGGTGGCACTGTCCCCAATGTCCCCAGTGTCACCGCAGGGGTGGCACTGTCCCCAATGTCCCCAGTGTCACCGCAGGGGTGGCACTGTCCCCAGTGTCCCCGATGTCACCGCAGGGGTGGCACCACCAGCACCTTGCACTCCCCGTGTCCCCAGTGTCCTCAGTGTCCCCAGTGTCACCGCAGGGGTGTCCCCGCAGGGGTGGCACTGTCCCCAGCTGTCCCCAGTGTCCCCAATGTCACCGCAGGGGTGGCACTGTCACCGCAGGGGTGGCACCACCAGCACCTTGCACTCCCTCTTGGCGATCTTGTCCAGGGCCAGCACGGCTTTGTCACCCGCGGGCAGGTACAGGGGACGTCCCACGGGGGACCCCACGGGCGGCGTGATGGCGCGGCGCTCCATGACACTGCCCGACCTGGGGACAGGGCATTGGGGACAGCAGTGTCACCTCTGTGTCACCTGTGTCACCTGTGTCACCTCAGTGTCACCTCAGTGTAACCCACAGTGTCCCTGTGTCACCCACAGTGTCCCCATGTCACCCCCCGTGTCACCCCAGGTGATGGCGCGGCGCTCCATGACACTGCCCGACCTGGGGACAGCAGTGTCACCTGTGTCACCCACAGTGTCCCTTTGTCACCTCTGTGTCACTTGTGTGTCATCCACAGTGTCCCTGTGTCACCTGTGTCACCCACAGTGTCCCTGTGTCAGTTACAGTGTCCCTGTGTCACCCACAGTGTCACCTGTGTCACCCAAGGCAGTGGTGGCACCTCCCCAGGGTCCCTTTGTCACATCCCAGTCCCTCCCAGTCCCTCCCAGTTCCCTCCCAGTCCTCCCCAGTCCCTCCCAATCCCCTCCAAATCCCTCCCAGCTGCTCCCAGTGCCTCCCAGTCCCTCCCAGTTCCCTCCCAGTCCCCTCCCAGTCACCCCCAGTTCCCTCCCAGTTCCCTCCCAGTCCCTCCCAGTTGTTCCCAGTCCCCTCCCAGTTGCCCCAAAACCCCCTCCCAGTTCCCTCCCAGTCCATCCCAGTCCCTCCCAATCCCCTCCCAGTCCCTCCCAGCTGCTCCCAGTCCCTCCCAGTGCCCCAAAACCTCTTCCCAATCCCTCCGAATCCCCTCTCAATCCCCTCCCAGTCCCTCCCAATCCCCTCCCAATCTGTCCCAGTCCCTCCCAGCTGCGCCCAGTTCCCTCCCAATCCCCTCCCAGTGCTCCCAGTGCTCCCAGTACCTGATGAGGTGGCTGCGGGCGGGCTGCTGGTGGGAGAAGGACTGGGAGCGGCCCAGGCCGGCCACGAGCTCCCGCACGGCCGGAGAGCCGGGGCTGCCCCTGCGGGACACGGGCCGCGCCTCCCCCGGCCCACTGGGCTGTACTGGGAGGCACTGGGAGGAACTGGGGCTGCCCCTGCGGGACACGGGCCGCGCCTCGGCCGGGGCGCTGCTGACGCTGGCCGTGAACTGCAGCTTCAGCTTCATGTGCTGCGACAGCTGCGACAGCGCGTCACTGGGAGCACTGGGAGGGACTGGGGGGCACTGGGAGGGGGTTTGGGGGCACTGGGAGGGACTGGGAGGGACTGGGGGGCACTGGGAGCAGCTGGGAGGGGGTTTGGGGGCACTGGGAGGGGGTTTGGGGGCACTGGGAGGGAGTTCTGGGTGGGATTTGGGGCACTGGAGGCACTGGGAGGGCATTGGGAAGTACTGGGAGGGGCACTGGGATGTACTGGGAGGTACCGGGGGGGACTGGGAGGGGATCTGGGCCACTGGGAGGGACTGGGAGGGGATTTCGGGGCACTGGGAAGGAGCTTTGGGGCACTGGGAGGGAGTTCTGGGGGGGGAATTGGGGCACTGGGAGGTACTGGGAGATACTGGGAGGGCATTGGGAGGTACTGGGAGGGGTACTGGGATGTACTGGGAGACACTGGGGAGGGACTGGGAGGGGATTTCGGGGCACTGGGAAGGAGCTTTGGGGCACTGGGAGGGAGTTCTGGGGGGTATTTGGAGCACTGGAGGCACTGGGAGGGACTGGGAGTGAGTTCTGGGGATACTGGGAGGCACTGGGAGGCACTGGGAGGGGCACTGGGCTGTACTGGGAGGCACTGGGAGGAACTGGGGCTGCCCCTGCGGGACACGGGCCGCGCCTCGGCCGGGGCGCTGCTGACGCTGGCCGTGAACTGCAGCTTCAGCTTCATGTGCTGCGACAGCTGCGACAGCGCGTCACTGGGAGCACTGGGAGCCACTGGGAGGGACTGGGGGGCACTGGGAGGGGGTTTGGGGCACTGGGAAGGGACTGGGAGGGACTGGGAGCCACTGGGAATGCACTGAGAGAGACTGGGAGGGGGTTTGGGGGCACTGGGAGGGACTTCAGGGGGCTATGTGGGGCACCGGAGGCACTGGGAGGGAACTGGGAGGGCATTGAGAGGTACTGGGAGGGACTGGGAGGGACTGGGAGGGACTGGGAGGGGGTTTGGGGGCACTGGGAAGGACTGGGAGGGACTGGGAGCCACTGGGAATGCACTGAGAGAGACTGGGAGGGGGTTTGGGGGCACTGGGAGGGACTGGGAGGGACTGGGAGGGGGTGTGGGGGCACTGGGAGGGACTGGGAGCCACTGGGAGGGACTGGGAGGGACTGGGAGGGACTGGGAGGAGGTTTGGGGGGGACTGGGAGGGGGTTTGGGGGCACTGGGAGGGACTGGGAGGGGCACTGGGATGGACTGGGGGGGACTGGGAGGCACTGGGAGGGGGTTTGGGGGAGATTTGGAGCACTGGAGGGAGTTCTGGGGGGGATTTGGGGCACTGGAGGCACTGGGAGGGACTGGGAGGGACTGGGAGGGGTACTGGGAGGTACTGGGAGACACTGGGGAGGGACTGGGAGGGACTGGGAGGGGGTTTGGGGGCACTGGGAGGGGGTTTGGGGGGGATTTGGGGGCACTGGGAGGGACTGGGAGGGACTGGGAGGGCACTGGGAGGTACTGGGAGGGCACTGGGAGGGACTGGGAGGGACTGGGAGGGACTGGGAGGGGATTTCGGGGCACTGGGAGGGACTGGGAGGGCACTGGGAGGGACTGGGAGGGGATTTCGGGGCACTGGGAGGGAGTTCTGGGGGGGATTTGGGGCACTGGAGGCACTGGGAGGGACTGGGAGGTACTGGGAGGGGTACTGGGATGTACTGGGAGGCACCGGGGGGGACTGGGAGGGGATCTGCGGCACTGGGAGCCACTGGGAGTGGGTTTTGGGGGGATTTGGGGGCACTGGGAGGGAGTTCTGGGGGCTGTGTGGGGCACTGGGAGATACTGGGAGGGCATTGGGAGGTACTGGGAGGCACTGGGGGAGACTGGGAGCCACTGGGAGAGACTGGGAGCCACTGGGAGAGACTGGGAGCCACTGGGAGGGGGTTTGGGGGCACTGGGAGGGAGTTCAGGGGGGGATTTGGTGCACTGGAGGCACTGGGAGGGCGTTGGAAGGTACTGGGAGGGCACTGGGAGGGGTACTGGGATGTACTGGGATGCACTGGGGAGGGACTGGGAGGGGATCTGGGGCACTGGGAGGGACTGGGAGGCACTGGGAGGGGGTTTGGGGGGGATTTAGGGGCACTGGGAGGGAGTTCTGGGGGCTATTTGGGGCACTGGGAGGGCACTGGGAATGACTGGGAGGTACTGGGATGTACTGGGAGGCACTGGGGGGGACTGGGAGCCACTGGGAGCCACTGGGAGAGACTGGGAGAGACTGGGAGCCACTGGGAATGCACTGGGAGGGACTGGGAGGGGGTTTGGGGGGATTTGGGGGCACTGGGAGGGAGTTCTGGGGGAGATTTGGGGCACTGGAGGCACTGGGAGGGCACTGGGAGTTACTGTGAGGGGGTTTGGGGGGACTGGGAGGCACTGGGATGGCACTGGGAATTACTGGGAGGGGTACTGGGATGTACTGGGAGGCACTGGGGGGGAACTGGGAATGGATTTGGGGCACTGGGAGGGACTGGGAGAGAGTTTTGGGAGGGGATTTGGGAGTACTGGGAGAACACTGGGATGTACTGGGAGTTACTGGGAGGGACTGGGAGAGCACTGGGATGTACTGGGATATATTGGGAGTGACTGGGAGTTACTGGGAGTTACTGGGATGTACTGGGAGGGACTGGGAGAGCACTGGGATGTACTGGGAGAGCACTGGGAGTTACTGGGAGTTACTGGGAGGGACTGGGGGCGACTGGGAATGTATTTGGGGCACTGGGATGTACTGGGAGAGCACTGGGAGTTACTGGGAGTTACTGGGAGGGAGTTCTGGCCATACTGGGAGGCACTGGGGGGGACTGGGAGGGGATTTGGGCCCGCAGCGCCTGGAAGGGGATACTGGGAACACTGGGAACGGGGTAACAATGGGGATAACGGGGACAGGGGTGGCACAGGTGGCACTGGGGTGGCACAGGTGACACCGGGGGTGGCACAGGTGACACAGGTGACACTGACCTCGAAGAGACCGGCCCGCAGCGCCAGGAATGGGCATACTGGGCATACTGGGGATACTGGGAACACTGGGAACGGGGTAACAATGGGGATAACGGGGACAGGGGTGGCACAGGTGGCACTGGGGTGGCACAGGTGACACCGAGGGTGGCACTGGGGTGACAGAGGTGACACTGGGGTGGCACAGGTGACACTGACCTCGAAGAGGCCGGCCCGCAGCGCCTGGAATGGGGATACTGGGGATACTGGGAACACTGGGAATGGGGTAACCATGGGGATAATGGGGACAGGGGTGGCACTGGTGGCACTGGGGTGGCACCGGGGGTGGCACAGGTGACACAGGTGACACAGGTGACACTGACCTCGAAGAGACCGGCCCGCAGCGCCTGGAAGGCCACGCGGAAGGTGCGGGCGCTGCCCTTGCGGGAGTAGCCGAGGTTGGTCAGCGGCGTGTGACAAACCACCGAGTCCAGAGAGCCCCGGGACCGCCCTGAGCACCGAGGGAAAACGGAATTTTGGGGATTTTTTTGAGATTTTTTGGGGGTTTCTTGAGAATTTTTTGGAATTTTTTTAGGGGGAATTTCTGGTGATTTTTTGGATTTTTTTGGGATTTTTTGGGATTTTTTGGGGATTTTTTGGGGGATTTTTTGGGATTTTTTTGGGATTTTTTATTGATTTTTTTGCAAATTTTTGGGTTTTTTTGGAAGATTTTTTTGGGATTTTTTGGGGTTTTTATATTGGTTTTTTTGCAAATTTTTTTTTTTTGTTTTTTTTGGGAAGATTTTTTTTTTATTTTTCTGGTGGTTTTTTGCAGATTATTGGGAATTTTTTATGGTATTTGGGGGATTTTCTGGTGGTTTTTTTTACTTTTTTGGAGAGGGGATTATTGAGATTTTTTGGTGATTTTGGGGGTTTTATGGGGGGGTCTTCTGGGGATTTTCTGGTGGTTTTTTGGGATTTTTTTGGGATTCTTTGCGGGATTTTTGAGATTTTTTTGGGGGTTTTTTTTTGGGTTTTCGGAGGATTTTTTTGGGGGGATTTTTTGGGGAGTTTTTTTGGGATTTTTTTGGTATTTGGGGGAGGCATTTTCTGGTGTTTTTTTTGGGGGGGGGGTTGAGATTTTTTTGGGGATTTTTTGGGGATTTTTTTTTGGATTTTTGGGGATTTTGGGGGGATATTTCTGGTGTTTTTTTGGGATTTTTTGGGGTGTTTTTTGGGTTTTTTTGGGGGGATTTTTTGGGTTTTTTTGGGGGATTTTTTGGGGTTTTTTTTTTTTGGATTTTTTAGGTTTTTCTTGGGGGATCCCCTCGATGTCCCCAAGTGTCCCCAATCCCCCCAATGTCCCCAATCCCCCCAATCCCCCCAATGTCCCCAGTGTCCCCAATGTCCCCAATGTCCCCAGATGTCCCCAAATGTCCCCAGTGTCCCCACCGGCGGTGGCCTCGGGTGTCCAGACCAGGCGCACGGCCAGGAAGTCCTGCAGGTCGTTGAGGAGGGTGTAGGTGACAGTGAAGCGCTGCAGGGCCACCACGGGGGACTCGCAGGTGGCCGTCATCACGAAGCGCGGCCGCTCCAGACGGATGCTCGGCAGCCTGGGGACATTGGGGACATTGGGGACATGGAGGTGGCATCACGGGGACATGGCTAAAGGAGCCCCAGAGAGCTCCGGGGACGTGGTGGCACTGGGACAATGAGGTGGTGGCACATTCAGAGGTGGCCCTGGGCAATGAGGAAGGTCTGGAGGGCTTGGGGACATCATGGGGACATTGGGGACATGGAGGTGGCATCACTGGGACACGGCTGAAGGAGCCCCAGAGAGCTCTGGGCACGTGGTGGCACTGGGACAATGAGGGGACAGGAGGTGGTGGCACATGTAGAAGAAGCCAGGAGGGTCTGGAGAGCTTGGGGACATCACGGGGACATTGGGGACATGGTGGTGGCATCACAGGGACACCTCTGAAGGAGCCCCAGAGAGCTCTGGGGGCGTGGTGGCACTGGGACAATGAGGGGACAGGAGGTGGTGGCACACGTAGACAAAGCCAGGAGGGTCTGGAGAGCTTGGGGACATCATGGGGACATCATGGGGACATCGGGGACATGGTGGTGGCATCGTGGGGAAGTCCAGAAAGGAGCCACAGAACGTTCTGAGGATGGAGGAACGTGGGGACAATGAGGTGACAGCGCGGTGACAAGGAGGTGGTGGCACCCCAGGAGGTTCTGGTGGCCTTGGGGACACGGCGGTGACAGCGGGTGGCACTCACCGGTAGTGGGTGACGATGCTGTTGGTGAACGGCAACTTTGGCGTCGACCACCGGACCACGGCCACCAGCGGCACCTCCAGGCCCTGCTTGGGGACATCGGTGTCACCGCGGTGCCACCCGCGGTGGCCTCCGTGTCCCCAGCGTCCCCAAGGCCAGTGGGGACAACAGGGATTGTCACCAAGCCTGGGGACACCATGGTCATGGGGGGTTGGTGGCATCTTGGCGGGCTTGGATGGGGTTGGTGGCCCTTGACTGTTGTCCCCAAGTGTCCCCAAGGCCCTCCCAGTGTCCCCAAGTGTCCCAAAGCCACCCCAAATCCCCTCAGGGATCCCCGAGGATTGTCCCCAACCCCAACTTGGGGACACTTTTGGTGCCACCAAGGTGTGACAAGGCCCCTTGGCCCAGTCTGGTGGCCCTTGATGGATGTCCCCAAGTGTCCCCAAGGCCACCACGATGTCCCCAACCCCCCAGATACCCCCAAGAACTGTCCCAAACCCCAATGTGGGGACACTTTTGGTGCCACCAAGGTGGGACAAGGCCCCTTGGCCCTGTCTGGTGGCCCTTGATGGGTGTCCCCAAGTGTCCCCAAGGCCACCCCGATGTCCCCAAGGCCACCACGGTGTCCCCAACCCCCCAAATACCCCCAAGAACTGTCCCCAAACTCAACTTGGGGACATTTTTGGTGCCACCAAGGTGTGACAAGGCCCCTTGGCCCAGTCTGGTGGCCTTTGATGGATGTCCCCAAGTGTCCCCAAGGCCACCACGGTGTCTCCAACCCCACAGATACCCCCAAGAACTGTCCCCAACCCCAACTTGGGGACATATTTAGTGCCACCAAGGTGGGACAAGGCCCCTTGGCCCAGTCTGGTGGCCTTTGATGGATGTCCCCAAGTGTCCCCAAGGCCACCGCAGTGTCCCCAAGGCCACCACGATGTCCCCAACTCCCCAGATACCCCCAAGAACTCTCCCCAAACTCAACTTGGGGACACTTTTGGTGCCACCAAGGTGTGACAAAGCCCCTTGGCCCAGTCTGGTGGCCTTTGATGGATGTCCCCAAGTGTCCCCAAGGCCACCACGATGTCCCCAAGGCCACCACGATGTCCCCAACCCCCCAGATACCCCCAAGAACTGTCCCCAACCCCAACTTGGGGACATTTTTAGTGCCACCAAGGTGTGACAAGGCCCCTTGGCCCAGTCTGGTGGCCCTTGATGGGTGTCCCCAAGTGTCCCCAAGGCCACCACGATGTCCCCAACCCCCCAGATACCCCCAAGAATTCTCCCCAACCCCAACTTGGGGACATTTTTAGTGCCACCAAGGTGTGACAAGGCCCCTTGGCCTAGTCTGGTGGCCCTTGATGGATGTCCCCAAGTGTCCCCAAGGCCACCGCGGTGTCCCCAAGGCCACCGCGGTGTCCCTCACCTCCTTGGCGTCGCGGGGTGGCCGCTCGGGCGCCTGCAGCTGGAACAGGAAGTTCTGCTCCTCCAGGGCGCTGAGGGGACACGGCCACCCCGAGTGGCACCCGGGGACGCGGCAGAACGCCCCGACGGGGACCTCCCCGGAGTGGTGGCTGCGAGGGGACAGTGGGGACACTCAGGGGACACTGGGGACACTCAGGGGACAGGTCACATCCCCAAGGTCCTCACGTTGTCCCCAAAGTTCTCTCCCGTTCCCAAGGTCCTCGTGGTCTTCTTGGTGTCCCCAAGGTCTCCACAATGTCCCCAAGGTCCTCTTGGTGTCCCCAAGGTCCTCATGGTGTCCCCAAGGTCCTCTTGGTGTCCTCAAGGTCCCCACATTGTCCCCAAGGTCCTCATGCTGTCCCCAATGTCCTCTTGGTGTCCTCAAGGTCTCCACATTGTCCCCAAGGTCCTCATGATGTCCCCAGGGTTCTCACACTGTCCCCAAAGTCCTCATGGTGTCCCCAATGTCCTCTTGGTGTCCCCAATGTCCTCTTGGTGTCCACAAGGTCTCCACAATGTCCCCAAGGTCCTCATGGTGTCCCCAAGGTCTTCTTGGTGTCCCCAAGGTCTCCAAAATGTCACCAAGGTCCTCTTGGTGTCCCCAAGGTCCTCATGGTGTCCCCAAGGTCCTCATGGTGTCCCCAAGGTCTCCACATTGTCCCCAAGGTCCTCATGATGTCCCCAGGGTTCTCACACTGTTCCCCAAAGTCCTCACGGTGTCCTCAAGTTCTCCACATTGTCCCCAAGGTCCTCATGGTGTCCTCAAGGTCCCCACATTGTCCCCAGGGTCCCCACAATGTCCCCAATGTTCCTTTTGGTGTCCCCAAAGTCCTCATGGTGTCCCCAAGGTGTCTCCATTGTCCCCAAGTTCTCCTCCCATTCCCAAAGTGTCCCCCAGGTGTCCCCAGATGTCCCCCAGCTGTCCCCCAGGTGTCCCCCAGGTGTCCCCAGCTCTCCCCAGCTGTTCCCAGCTGTCCCCAGCTGTCCCCCAGCTGTCCCCAGCTGTCCCCAGATGTCCCCAGATATCCCAAGCTGTCCCCCAAGTGTCCCCAGGTGTCCCCAGCTGTCCCCCAGCTGTCCCCCAGGTGTCCCCAGGTGTCCCCATGTGTCCCCAGGTGTCCCCAGGTGTCCCCATGTGTCCCCAGATGTCCCCCAGGTGTCCCCAGGTGTCTCCAGCTGTCCCAAGATGTCCCTGTGGTGCTCCCAGCTGTCCTGCAGCTGTCCACAGCTGTCCCCAAACTGTCCCCAGGTGTCCCCAGCTGTCCCCAGGTGTCCCCAGCTGTCCCCAAACTGTCCCCAGGTGTCCCCAGCTGTCCCCACATTGTCCCCAGCTGTCCCCAGGTGTCCCCAAGGTGTCCCCAAGGTGTCCCCAGATGTCCCCAGGTGTCCCAAGATGTCCCTACGCTGCTCCCAGCTGTTCCCCAGCTGTCCCCAGCTGTCCCCAAGGTGTCCCCAAGGTGTCCCCAAGATGTCCCTGTGGTGCTCCCAGGTGTCCCCAGCTGTCCCCCAGCTGTCCCCAGCTGTCCCCAGGTGTCCCCAGGTGTCCCCAAACTGTCCCCCAAGAGTCCCCAGGTGTCCCCAGCTGTCCCCAAGGTGTCTCCAAGGTGTCCCCAGGTGTCCCCAAGTGTCCCCAGGTGCCCCAAGATGTCCCCAGATGTCCCCAGGTGCTCCCAGCTGTCCCCAGCTGTCCCCAAACTGTCCCCCAGCTGTCCCCAAGGTGTCCCCAAACTGTCCCCAGCTGTCCCCCAGCTGTCCCCAGCTGTCCCCAGATGTCCCCCAGATGTCCTCAGCTGTCCCCAGCTGTCCCCAAGTGTCCCCAGGTGTCCCCAGCTGTCCCCAGGTACTCACCAGACGTCGTCCACCAGCAGCACGGAGCCGTCGGGCATCACGGGCAGGTAACTGGCGTTGAAATTGGGCAGGACCTGCACGTCCCACAGGGACAGCTCCTCCTGCGAGCTGCCATTGAGCACTGGGGACATTGGGGACAGAGGGGACATTGGGGACACTGGGGACAGCAGGGACATTGGGGACAATGGGGACAATGGGGACATCGGGGACATCAGGGATATCCAGGGCATCGGGGCATTGGGGACACTGCACGTCCCACAGGGACAGCTCCTCCTGCGAGCTGCCATTGAGCACTGGGGACATTGGGGACAGAGGGGACATTGGGGACATCCAGGGCATTGGGGACATTGGGGGACTGGGGACACTGGGGGATTGGGGACATCGGGGATATCCAGGGCATTGGGGCATTGGGGACACTGGGAATGTTGGGGACAATGGGGACATCGGGGATATCCAGGGCATTGGGGACACCAGGGACATTGGGGACATTGGGGACATTGGGGACATTGGGGACACCAGGGACATTGGGGACACTGGGGACATCGGGGACATCGGGGACACTGGGGATATCCAGGGCATCGGGGCACTGGGGACACTGGGGGACTGGGGACATTGGGCAGGACATTGGGGACATTGGGGACATTGGGGACACTGGGGACATCCAGGGCACTGGGGACATTGGGGACATCGGGGACATTGGGGACATCCAGGGCACTGGGGACTTTGGGGACATCAAGGGGATTGGGGACACTGGGGGCATCCAGGGCATTGGGGACATTGGGGACATTAGGGATATTGGGGAATTGGGGACACTGGGGACATTTGGGACATCCAGGGCATTGAGGACATCCAGGGCATCGGGGACATTGGGGAACTGGGGACATCCAGGGGATTGGGGACATTGGGGGACACTGAGGACATTGGGGACATCAAGGGGATTGGGGACACTGGGGACATCCAGGGCATTGAGGACATTGGGGACACTGGGGACATTGCGGGGACTGGGGACACTGGGGGACACTGGGACTCATCAGGGACATTGGGGGTGACCCTCCCCCCTTTTCTCCTCCCCCCACCCTGTCCCCTCCCTTTGTCCCCAACCCCCCCAATGTCCCCAACCCCCCCAATGTCCCCACCCACCCCCGATGTCCCCAACCCCCCGATGTCCCCAGCTGTCCCCACTGTCACCTTTGAGCACGGTCAGGTACTTGCCGGACACGGTCACCTGGCGGCAGCGGACACGGGGGGGTGGCAGCACCGTCAGCAGCGTGGACACTGCGGGGACACCAGGGGACACTTGGGGACACTTGGGGACAGCCAGCCAGGGCCACCAGGCTGGGCCAAGGGACCTTGTCCCGCCTTGGTGGCACCAAAAGTGTCCCCAAGTTGGGGTTGGGGACAATCCTTGGGGGTCACTGAGGGGTTTGGGGTGGCTTTGGGACACTTGGGGACACCAGGGTGGCCTTGGGGACACTTTGGGACAGTCAGCCAGGGCCACCAGGTTGGGCCAAGGGACCTTGTCCTGCTTTGGTGGCACCAGAAGTGTCCCCAAGGCGGAGTTGGGGACAATCCTTGGGGGTCCTTGGGGGAGGTTTGGGGCACTTGGGGACACTTGGGGACACCAGGGTGGCCTTGAGGACACCAGGATGGCCTTGGGGACACTTGGGGACGTCCATCAAGGGCCACCAGGCTGGGCCAAGGGACCTTGTCCTGCCTTGGTGGCACCAAAAGTGTCCCCAAGTCGGGGTTGGGGACAATCCTTGGGGGTCACTGAGGGGTTTGGAGTGGATTTGGGACACTTGGGGACACCAGGGTGGCCTTGGGGACACCAGGGTGGCCTTGGGGACACTTGGGGACGTCCACCAAGGGCCACCAGGCTGGGCCAAGGGACCTTGTCCCGCCTTGATGGCACCAAAAGTGTCCCCAAGGTGGGGTTGGGGACAATCCTTGGGGGTCCTTGGGGGAGGTTTGGGGCACTTGGGGACACTCGGGGACACTCAAGGACACTCGGGGACACTTGGGGACAGCAGAGGGGGGGAGGTGACACTCTGGGGACATTTGGGGACCTCACCTTGTGCCTTGAAGGCCCCGTGCTGCTGCCGGAACACCTGGCCGGGGGCGCGGCCCTGGAGCAGCCTCAGGTACCCCCCTGGCCCTGGCCCTGTCCCTGTCCCTGTCCCTGTCCCTGTCCCTGTCCCTGTCATTGTCACCTGGCCTGGCCCTGGCCCTGTCCCTGTCCCCTCCTGCAGCTCCGGGGGCTCCGTGTCCCGCTGCCACACGGTCACCACGATCTGGGGACACCAAGGGGACACCACGGGGTCACCAGAGTGTCCCCAAGGTCACCGCGGTGTCCCCTCCCCATCCCAGCCCATCCCAGTGTCCCCAAAGTGTCCCCAAGGTTCACACATTGTCCCCAAAGTGTCCCCAAATTCCCTCCCCATCCATTCCCAATGTCCCCGATGTCCCCAAAGTGTCCCCAGTGTCCCCAAGGTTCCTCCCCATCCCATTCCCGATGTCCCCACAGTGTCCCCAATGTCCCCAAGGTGTCCCCAAATTATCCCCAAATGTCCCCAAGTGTCCCCAGATTATCCCCAAATGTCCCCAAGGTCCCTCCCCATCCATTCCTGATGTCCCCAAAGTGTCCCCAATGTCCCCAAAGTGTTCTCAAGGTCCCCAAAGTGACCCCAAAGTCCCTCCCCATCCATTCCCGATGTCCCCAAAGTGTCCCCAGTGTCCCCAGGTGTCCCCAGGGTCCCTCCCCATCCATTCCCGATGTCCCCGATGTCCCCATTTGTCCCCAAAGTGTCCCCAGAGTGTCCCCAATGTCCCCAAAGTGTCCCCAAATTCCCTCCCCATCCATTCCCGGTGTCCCCAATGTCTCTAAAGTGTCCCCAGATTATCCCCAAAGTGTCCCCAAATGTCCCCAAATTACCCCCAAATGTCCCCAAGTGTCGCCAGATTATCCCCAAATGTCCCCAAGGTCCCTCCCCATCCATTCCCGGTGTCCCCAATGTCTCTAAAGTGTCCCCAAATTATCCCCAAAGTGTCCCAAATGTCCCCAAATTATCCCCAGATGTCCCCAAGGTGTCCCCAAGGTCCCTCCCCATCCATTCCCAATGTCCCCGATGTCCCCAGTTGTCCCCAAAGTGTCCCCAAATGTCCCCAAATTATCCCCAAATGTCCCTAAGGTGTCCCCAAGATCCCTCCCAATTCATTCCCAATGTCCCCAAAGTGTCCCCGATGTCCCCAAAGTGTTCTCAAGGTCCCCAAAGTGACCCCAAAGTCCCTCCCCATCCCATTCCCGATGTCCCAAATGTCCCCAATTGTCCCCATAGTGTCCCCAGATGTCCCCAGATTATCCCCAAATGTCCCCAAGGTCCCTCCCCATCCATTCCCAATGTCCCCAAAGTGTCCCCGATGTCCCCAAAGTGTTCTCAAGGTCCCCAAAGTGACCCCAAAGTCCCTCCCCATCCATTCCTGATGTCCCCAAAGTGTCCCCAATGTCCCCAAATTATCCCCAAATGTCCCCAAAGTGTCCCCAAGGTGTCTCAAAGTGTCCCCAATGTCCCCACGGTGTCCCCAGGGTCCCTCCCCACCCATTCCCAATGTCCCCGATGTCCCTATTTGTCCCCAAAGTGTCCCCAAATTCCCTCCCCATCCTATTCCTGATGTCCCCAATGTCCCCAAATGTCCCCAAGGTGTCCCCAATGTCCCCAGATGTCCCCAAATGTCCCCAAATGTCCCCACCTTGGCCTTGGCGGTGCCGGGCGGGAGCCGGTCCAGAGCCACGGTGAGCGGGAAAATGACCTCGTCCTGGGAGATGATGGGATCGTCCACGGGGAGCTGGGAAATGGGGAAAAAACGGGAAAAATTGGGAAAAATGGAAAAAATTGGGGGAAAATGGGAAAAAATGGGTAAAAAATGGAGAAAAATGGGAACAAATGGGGGAAAATGGGGGGAAAATGGGGGAAAATGGGGGAAAATGGGGAAAGGAGCTCGTCCTGGGAGATGATGGGATCGTCCACGGGGAGCTGGAAAAAATGGGGAAAAAACAGGAAAAATTGGGAAAAATGGAAAAAATCGGGTAAAAAATGGGTAAAAAATGGAGAAAAATGGGTGGAAAATGGGAACAAATGGGGGAAAATGGGGGGAAAATGGGGAAAGGAGCTCGTCCTGGGAGATGATGGGATCGTCCATGGGGAGCTGAGAAACATGAAGAAAATATGGAAAAAAATGGGAGAAATTGGGTAAAAAATAGAGAAAAATGGGGGGAAATAGGGAAAAATTGGGAAAAAACAGGTAAAATAGGAAAAAACAAGGAAAAATGGGAAAAACATGAAAAAATTGAAAAAAAATGGGGGAAAAAGGGGGAAAAAAGGGGGAAAAGAGAGGAAAAATGGGAAATCCCAGGATAAAGTGCGAAAATCCCAGGAAAAATGGGAAAACCCAAGGAAAAATGGGAAAAAATAGGAAAAATGGGGGGAAATAGGAAAAAGTGGGAAAAAATGGGAAAAACCAAGGAAAATGGGAAAATCCCAGGAAAAAGTGGGAAATACCAAGGAAAATGGGAAAAACCAAAAAAAAATAGGGAAAACCAAGGAAAAAATGGGAAAAAATGGGGAAAATGGGGGAAACAGGGAAGAATGGGAAATCCTAGGAAAAAATGGCGATAACCAAGGAAAAATGGGAAAAAACCAAAGAAAAATGGGAAAAAACAAGGAAAAATGGGAAAAAATAGGAAAAAATTGGGGGAAATAGGAAAAAGCGGGAAAAAATGGGAAAAACCAAGGAAAATGGGAAAATCCCAGGAAAAAGTGGGAAATACCAAGGAAAATGGGAAAAACCAAAAAAGTTGGGGAAAACCAAGGAAAAATGGGAAAAACCAAGGGAAAAATGGGAAAAAATGGAAAAAAAGGGGGAAAATGGGGAAAAAATGGGAAAACCATGAAGAATGGGAAATCCCAGGAAAAAATGGCGATAACCAAGGGAAAATGGGAAAAACCAAGGAAAAATGGGAAAAACCAAGGAAAATGGGAAAATCCCAGGAAAAAGTGGGAAATACCAAGGAAAATGGGAAAATCCCAGGAAAAAGTGGGAAATACCAAGGAAAATGGGAAAAACCAAAAAAGATGGGGAAAACCAAGGAAAAATGGGAAAAACCAAGGGAAAAATGGGGAAAAATGGGGGGAAAATGGGAAAAACGAGGAAGAATGGGAAATCCCAGGAAAAAATGGCGATAACCAAGGATAAATGGGAAAAAACAAGGAAAAATGGGAAAAACCAAGGAAAAATGGGAAAAGCCAAGGGAAAATTGGGAAAAAATGGGAAAAAATGGGAAAAAAAAGGAAAGAAAGGGAGAAAATTGGGAAAAAATGGGAAAACCATGAAGAATGGGAAATCCCAGGAAAAAATGGCAATAACCAAGGATAAATGGGAAAAACCAAGGAAAACTGGGAAAAACCAAGGAAAAATGGGAAAAACCAAGGAAAAATGGGAAAAACCAAGGAAAAAGTGGGAAATACCAAGGAAAATGGGAAAAACCAAAAAAGATGGGGAAAACCAAGGAAAAATAGGAAAAACCAAAGAAAAATGGGAAAAACCAAGGGAAAATGGGAAAAACCAAGGAAAAATGGGAAAAACCAAAGAAAAATGGGAAAAACCAAGGGAAAATGGGAAAAACCAAGGAAAAATGGGGAAAAAATAGAAAAAAATTGGGGGAAAATGGGGAAAAACAGGAAAAAACGGGAAAAAGTGGGAAAATGCCAGAAAAAAAGCGGAAATGCCAGGAAAAAGCAGGAAAATCCCAGGAGAAGCAGAACCTCACCACCCGCAATTTCCCAAAATTCCCGATTTTCGCCGCTCACCCCGGCCCCGGCGCCGCCCGGGGGGCCCCGGGCGTGCGTCAGCAGCGCGCGGCACTCCCGGAACAGCGGCGGCTCCCGGGAATCCTCGGGGCCGTTCCCGAAATTCCCGGGGTTCTCCTCCTCCTCCTCGTCCTCGTCCCGTGTCCGCGTGTCCCCGCTGGTCACCGTGGCCAGCGCCGACAGCGACGCCGCCAGCTGCGCCCAGGGCGAGCTGGGGGCGGGGCTTGGGGCAGAATGGGCGGGGTTTGAGGCAGAATGGGCGGGGTTTGTGCCAGAATGGGCGGAGTTTGCGATGGAGTGGGCGGGGTTTATGCCAGAGTGGGCGGAGTCTGCACTTGAGTGGGCGGGGTCTGCACTGGAGTGGGCGGGGTTTGCACTGAAGTGGGCGGGTGTTCTCTCAGGTTTGGCGGGAATTCCGTCAGAATTCGCGGGAATTCCGTCGGAATTGGCGGGAATTCCGTCGGAATTGGCGGGAATTCCATCGGAATTGGCGGGAATTCCACCAGAATTGGCGGGAATTCCGCCAGAATTGGCAGGAATTCTCTCAGGATTGGCAGGAATTCTCTCAGTGTTCCCAGGAGCTCTCTCAGTGTTCCCGGTGTTCCTGTCGGCATTCCCGGTGTTTCTCTCGGCGTTCCCGGTGTTCCTATCGGCATTCCCGGTGTTCCTGTCGGCGTTCCCGGTGTTCCTGTCGGCGTTCCCGGTGTTCCGGTCGGCGCCGCCGGTGTTCCCAGTGTTTCTCTCGGCATTCCCGGTGTTCCTCTCAGCATTCCCGGTGTTTCTCTCAGTGTTCCTCTCGGCGTTCCCGGTGTTTCTCTCGGCATTCCCGGTATTCCCGGTGTTCCTGTCGGCGTTCCCGGTGTTGCGGCGCAGCACCAGCAGGAAGCGCACGGTCTCGCCCAGGTACAGGTGGTTGCGGCGCGGCAGCGCCCGGTAACCGGAGGATTCTCCCGCCAGCAGCTCCCGCGGCGGGAAGGGAACGGCCGGGAAGTACATGGAGTAATCGCACTGGGATTCCATGGAGCCGGGAATTCGGGGGGGAAAACTGGGGGGAAATAGGGGGGAAAATGGGGAAAAAATGGGGGAAAATGGGGAAAATATTGGGGGGAAAATTGGCGGAAATAGGTGGGAAAATAGGGGAAAAATGGGGAAAAAATTGGGGGAAATAGGTGGGAAAATGGAAAAAAAAATGGGGGAAAATGGGGAAAAAAAGGGGGAAAAATTGGGGGAAATAGGTGGGAAAATAGGGAAAAAATGGGGGAAAACTGAGGAAAAAAGAGGGGAAAGTAGGAGGGGAAATGGGAACAAAATGGGGGTTAAAATGGGGAAAATATGAGGGAAAGCAGAGAGGAAAATGGGGAAAATATGAAGGAAAATGGGGAAAATATGAGGGAAAGTGGAGGGCAAAATGGGAAAAATATGAGGGAAAATATGAAGGAAAGTAGAGGGGAAAATGGGGAAAATATAAGAGAAAATGCAGGGGAAAATAGGAGAGAAAACTGAGGGAAATGGGGGAAATTTGAGGGAAAATGGAGAGGAAAAAAAGGAAAAAATGGAGAAAAAAATGGGGGAAATTAGGAGGGAAAATTGGGGACAAAAATTAGGGAAGAAAAGGGGAAAATAGGAGCAAAAGTGGGGAAAATTGGGAGGGAATTGTAAAAAATGGGGGAAATTGGGGAAGAAATTGGGGAAAATAGGAGGGAAAATGGGGGAAAAACTGGGGGGAAAGAGGAAGAATAGGAGGGAAAATGAGGAAAAAATTAGGAAAAAATGCAAAAAATAGGAGGGAAAATGGGAGGAAAACTGGGGGGAAATGGGAAAAATAGGAGGGAAAAAATAGGAGGGAAAATGGCAGAAAAATTAGGAAAAAATACAAAAAATAGGAGGGAAAATAGGGAAACTAATAGGGGGAAATGGGAAAAAATTGGGGAAAATATCAGGGAAAACAGGAGGGAAAATGGAGAAGGATAGAGAAAAGAATAGGGAAAAATAGAAGGAAAATTGGGGAAAAATAGGAAAGAAAATGGCAAAAAATGGGAAAATTGGGGGAAACGGGAAAAATAGGAGGGAAAATGGAGAAAAAATTAGGGAAAATGGGAAAATAGGAGGGAAAATACCGGGAAAATATCTGGGAATTGAGAGGCTAAATCCTGAAGGAATTTTGGGAATTTGGGGGGGAAATGGGGGTAAAAACTGGGAGAAATGAGGGGAAAAATACAGGGCAGAAATTAAAATTTAATTCCCTAAGGAGGGGTTAAATCCTGAGGGAATTAAAGGTTAAATTCCCAAGGAAATTCTGGGAATATTGAGAATAATAAGGGTTAAATCCCAAAGGAATGTGGGGAATTTGGGAGAAAATAAGGGGGGAAAATCTGGGAATTTCGGGGGTTAAATCCTGGTAGAATTTCAGGAATTTTCGGGGTTAAATCCCGGCAGAATGTCGGGAATTGTTGTGAATTTTTGGGAATTTTTGAGGGATTAAATCCCAGGAATTGTGGTCCTTAATTCCCGAGGAAATGTCGGGAATTTTTGGGAATTTGTGGGGACTGGGGGGATTAAATCTAGAGGGAATTGCAGGAATTTTGGGGGATTAAATCCCGGTGGAATTCCGGGAATTATCGGTGGGTTAAATCCCGGGCGAAATTTGGGAATTTTCGGGTGATAATGAGGGTTAAATCCCAGGAAAATTGCGGGAATTTTCAGGAATTTGGGAGGGAAAATAGGATGTAAATCCCGAGGAAATTCCGGGAATTTTGGGGGTTAAATCCAGGGAATATTGGGGGGATTTTGGGATTAAATCCCGGGAATTCTGGGGGTTAAATCCAGGGAATATTGGGGGGATTTTGGGGTGAAATCCCGGGAATTTTCGGGGATTTTGGGGGGGATAAAGGGATTTAAATCCCGGGAATAACGGGGGGTCCCGGGGGGGGATCCTCGGTTACCGGGGGGGTCCCGAGGGGTTCCTGAGGGGGTCCCGGGCCTGGTCCGGGGTTACCGGGGGGGTCCCGGGCCTGGTCCGGGATTACCGGGGGGTCCCGGGGGGGGGTCCCGGGCCTGGTCCGGGGTTACCGGGGAGTTCCTGGGGGGGGTCCCGGTTCCGGTCCGGGGTTACCAGGGGGGTCCCGGGGGATCCCGGGCCTGGTCCGGGGTTACCGGGGGGGGGTCCCGGCTCCGGTCCGGGGTTACCGGGGGGGGTTCCCGGCTCCGGTCCGGGGTTACCGGGGGGGGTTCCCGGCTCCGGTCCGGGCCCGTTCGGCGCTTCCGGGTGCGGTCCGGTGAACGCGGACGGCGACGCCGGTGCGCATGGCGGCGTCCATGAGGGTTTGCGCATGCGCAATAGGGAAGAAAGTGCCGTAAACATGGCGGCGCCCATGAGTGTACGGCACATGTGCAATAGGGGCAAGGCCGTACGGACGATTTGCCGTGTATGGAGGCTGCGGCGTCTTCAGTGCGCATGCGCAGAGAGAAAAAAAAAAGGGCAAATATTCATTTTTAATGCTCCTGACTCCCAAAAATTTGAGGCTCGGACCCCCAAAATTTCGTTCCGGAGGGGTTGAGCCCCCAGAATCACTCTGAGACGCCAAAATTTCCGTCTGAGCCCCCAAAAGAGGGTTCAAAGTCCAAAAACCGGGACAGTGACCTGGACCCGCCCACATCTGTTAAAGTCCCTCAAAATCAGGGCCTGGACCCCTCTGGAATCCCCCAAAGTCGAAACACTCAATACCCCGCAAATTTGTGTTCGTCACCTACATTTAAAGCTTTAGTGCGGGGATTTGGAAAGGATTTTTGGGGTTCAGAGCGCTCCGGACCCAAAATTTGGGTGAATCTGGGGGATTTCCGTGGTATGAGGGGGGATTTAAATCTTTAATCGTTTTAATAAAAATCTGACCAATCACAGCTCGCCTCGCCGGCGGGGGGCAGAGCTGTACGCCCACTCAGCCAATCGCGTTGCGCAATAATCCATTGACCAATCGCAGCTCGGTGCAGATTTTGATTGGCAGGTAGCTTCTCTATCCTAACCAATAGAATTACGGGGTGGATTTAGAGGGGCGGGATTTTTTGGAGTCTCAGCCAATCACGGCGTGCGCGGGGCGTTTCCCGCCGTTTTCCCCTCAGCGCGGGAGCCGCCATGGAGCCGCTCCGGCCTTGGCTCGTCCCGTTCCTGCTGCCCGAGCACTGCTTCGATCAATTCTTCCTGCGCTTCCAGCTCCTCCATGGTGCCGCGGGGCCGCGGGGGGCTGTTCTGGGGCTTTTGGGGGGTTTTGAGGGGGTTTTGGGGCGTCTTTAAGGGCTGTGGGGGCGGCCGCCATTTTGGTTACGGGCGGGAGTTTTGCTAGGCCGCCGCCATCTTGGTTTTGGGCACGGGAAAAGCAGCGCCGCCATATTTGCTTTGGCTGTGAGGCGATGCTGCCGCCATCTTTGTTTTGGGTGAGGGGGATTACAAAATTTGAGAATTTTTGAGGAAATTTGAGGAAATTTTAGGGGATTTTGAGGAATTTTTGGGAATTTTGGGGTCATTTCACCTCATCTTTCTCCTTTCTCTGCAGTTCCGTGCTTGAAAATCCTCCTGAGCAAAGTTCTGGGCTATGGGATCGTGGCAGGATCCGTCCTGGGTGAGATTTTGGGGGGATCTGAGGAGATTTTGGGGGTTTTGGGATCCCAAATTATTTTAGGATAAATTTGGGGGGATTTTAGGGTGATTCTCTGGGGATCCCTGACCCCTTTTTCCTCCCCAAATGAAAGTCCTGCAGGTGATGAAGGTTTAGGGGTCCCTGGGGCCCATTTAAGGGTAATTTTGAGGTATTTTAAAGCATATTTGGGGTATTTTAGGGCAGTTTTGGGGTATTTTGGGGTGGATTTTTGGGGTTTTTTTTGGATTTTAACCCAATTTCCCCCCAGTGAAGGTTCCCCAGCTGCTGAAGGTTTGGGGGTCCCTGGGGGGGAGTTTTGATGTATTTTTAAGCTATTTTGGGGTATTTTAGTGTGGTTTTTGGCTATTTTAGTGCGGTTTTTGTGTATTTTGGGGTGGATTTTTGGGGTTTTTTTAGGATTTTAACCCCATTTTCCCCCAGTGAAGGTTCCTCAGCTGCTGAAGGTTTGGGGGTCCCTGGGGGGGCATTTAGGGACAATTTTGGGGTATTTTAATGTGGTTTTGGGCTATTTTAGTGCAGTTTTTGTGTATTTTGGGGTGGATTTTTGGGTTTTTTTGTTGATTTTAACCCAATTTCCCCCCAGTGAAGGTTCCCCAGCTGCTGAAGGTTTGGGGGTCCCTGGGGGGGCATTTAGGGTCAATTTGGGGGTATTTTAATGTGGTTTTTGGGCTATTTTAGTGCGGTTTTTGGCTATTTTAGTGCGTTTTTTGGCTATTTTAGTGCGGTTTTTGGCTATTTTAGTGTGGTTTTGTGTATTTTGGGGTGGATTTTTGGGGTTTTTTAGGATTTTAACCCCATTTCCCCCCAGTGAAGGTTCCTCAGCTGCTGAAGGTTTGGGGGTCCCTGGGGGGGCATTTAGGGTCAATTTTGGGGTATTTTAGTGTGGTTTTTGGGTATTTTGGGGTGGATTTTTGGGGTTTTTTTAGGATTTTAACCCAATTTCCCCCCAGTGAAGGTTCCCCAGCTGCTGAAGGTTTGGGGGTCCCTGGGGGTTAATTTAGGGACAATTTTGGGCTATTTTAGTGCGGTTTTTGGCTATTTTAGTGTGGTTTTTGGCTATTTTGGGGTGGATTTTTGGGGTTTTTTTAGGATTTTAACCCCATTTTCCCCCAGTGAAGGTTCCGCAGCTGCTGAAGGTTTGGGGGTCCCTGGGGCCCATTTAAGGGTAATTTTGGGGTATTTTAAAGCATATTTGGGGTATTTTAGGGCAGTTTTGGGGTATTTTGGGGTGGATTTTTGGGGTTTTTTTTGGATTTTACCCCAATTTCCCCCCAGTGAAGGTTCCGCAGCTGCTGAAGGTTTGGGGGTCCCTGGGGGGGACATTTAGGGACAATTTTGTGGCATTTTAAAGGAATTTTGGGATATTTTAATGCAGTTTTTGGGTATTTTGGGGTGGATTTTTGGGTTTTTTTTGGATTTTACCCCAATTTCCCCCCAGTGAAGGTTCCCCAGCTGCTGAAGGTTTGGGGGTCCCTGGGGGGCGTTTAGGGTCAATTTTGGGGTATTTTAATGTGGTTTTTGGATATTTTAATGCGGTTTTTGGCTATTTTAGTGCAGTTTTTGGCTATTTTAGTGCAGTTTTTGTGTATTTTGGGGTGGATTTTTGGGGTTTTTTTAGGATTTTAACCCAATTTCCCCCCAGTGAAGGTTCCTCAGCTGCTGAAGGTTTGGGGGTCCCTGGGGGGGAGTTTTGATGTATTTTTAAGCCATTTTTGGCTATTTTAGTGCGGATTTTGGGTATTTTGGGGTGGATTTTTTTGGGTTTTGGGGTGGATTTTTGGGGTTTTTTTTTGGATTTTAACCCAATTTTCCCCCAGTGAAGGTTCCCCAGCTGCTGAAGGTTTGGGGGTCCCTGGGGGGGAGTTTTGATGTATTTTTAAGCTATTTTGGGCTATTTTAGTGCGGTTTTTGGCTATTTTGGGGTGGATTTTTTTGGGTTTTGGGGTGGATTTTTGGGGTTTTTTAGGATTTTAACCCAATTTCCCCCCAGTGAAGGTTCCCCAGCTGCTGAAGGTTTGGGGGTCCCGCAGTGGGGGGGGTCTCAGCCTCCCCTCGGTGCTGCTGGAGCTGTTGGCCCTGGGGGGCTCCGTGGGCTACGGCTGCGCCAGGAACTTCCCCTTCAGGTTTGGGGCGATTTTGGGGGATTTTGGGGGTTCTGGCAAGTTTGGGAGGGTTTTGGGGTGAATTTGTGGGAGATTTCAGGGGATTTAGGGTGGGTTTTGGGGATTTTTGGGGGGGATTTGGGGTTTGGGGGGGGGGATTTGGGGGGTTCTGGGAAGTTTGGGAGGGATTTGGGGGTGGATTTTGGGGGAATTTGGGATTTTAGGGGGGATTTGGGGGTGGGTTTTGGGGATTTTGGGGGAATTTGGGGAGGATTTGAGGGCTTTGGGGTGAGTTTGAGAGGGATTTGGGGTGGATTTTGGGGGAATTTGGGATTTTGGGGGGGATTTGGGGTGGTTTTGGGGGGTTTGAGGGGGATTTGGGGGTTCTGGGAAGTTTGGGGGGGATTTGGGGGTGGATTTGGGGTGGTTTTGGGAGGTTTGAGGGGATTTGGGGTGGATTTGGGGGATTTTTGGGGGGGATTTGGGGGGTTCTGGGCAGTTTGGGGGGATTTGGGGAAGGACTGGGGTGGATTTTGGGGATTTGGGGTGAATTTGAGGAGATTTGGGGTGGATTTGAGGGGCTTTGGGAAGTTTGGGAGGGATTTGGGGGTGGATTTGGGGGAGATTTGGGGGATCTGGAGGGGATTTCAGGAACTTTTGGGGTGTTTTGGGTGCATTTTAAGCCATTTTCCCTTCATTTCTCATGGGATTTCCCCCATTTTCCACCTCCTGGGGGATTCTGGGACCTCCCAACCCCATTTTTGGGGGGTCCCGACCCCCTCCTGACCCCCCCAAAATTCCGGCAGCGCTTGGGGGGAGTCGCTCTTCCTCCTCCTGCAGACCCTCACCCTCCTCTTCCTCATCCTGCACTTCGGGGGCCGCACCGGCCGAGGTTTGTGCTGCATTTTGGGGGGGATTTGAAGATTTTGGGGATTTTTTGGGGACCCCCTGACCCCCCTTTTGTCCCCTCCCCCCCAGGGCTGGCGCTGGTGGCCGTTTTTGGGGCGTTTTTGGGGCTTTTGGTGTCTCCGCTGACGCCGCTGAGCTTCGTCACCGCCCTGCAGGCCCTGAACCTGCCCATCATCATCCTCAGCAGGGTGGGGGTTGGGGGGTTTGGGAGGTTTGGGGGATTTTGGGGGTCCTGGGGAGGATAAAAGGGAATTTTTGGGGGATTTTGGGGGTCTGGAGGGGTTTGGGGAGGTTAAAAGGGAATTTTGGGAGGATTTTGGGGGGTCCTGGAGGGGTTTGGGGAGGATAAAAGGGATTTTGGGGAGGATAAAAGGGATTTTGGGGAGGATAAAAGGGATTTTTGGGGATTTTAGGGAGGATTTTGGGGGGTCCTGGAGGGTTTTAGGGATTTTAAAAGGGAATTTGGGGGGGATTTGGGGGTCTGGAGGGGTTTTGGGAGGTTAAAAAAGATTTTGGGGGGGATTTTGGGAGGGATTTTGGGGGTCTGGAGGAGTCTGAGGAGGTTGAAAGGGTTTTTGGGGAATATTTGGGGGAATTTTGAGGAGGATTTGGGGGTCCTGGAGGGGTTTGAGGAGATTAAAAGCGATTTTAGGGAGATTTTGGGGGGTCCTGGATGAGTTAAAGGGAATTTGGGAAAGTTTTGGGAAAATTTGGGGCATCCTGGAGAAGTTTGGGGGAATTCTGGGGGCTCCTGTGGGGGGTTTGGGGGCATTTAAAGTGAATTTTGGGGGGTCCTAAAAGGGATTTTGGAACCCTGTGGAGTTTTGGGGGGTCCTGAGTGAAATTTGGGAGGTCTGGGGATGATTTTGGGACAATTTGGGGGGTCCTGAAGGGATTTTGGGGTGTCCTGGGGGGGTTTTTGGGGGTTTTTTTTGGAATTAATTTTAGCCAAACCCCCCAAATTCCCCTGGGATTTCGGGATTATTTTGGGCCAATTTGTGGCTTTTTCTCCATTTTTTGGACTCTTTCGAGCTCTTTGATTGGTCAGGGAAGATTTTGGGGCTCCCAAATTTTTGGGAACTCCCCAAAATCCCCCAAAATTCCTTTTCCAGCTGATCCAGATCGTCACCAACGCCCGGCAGGGTCACACGGGGCAGCTCTCGGGGGTCTCCACGGGGCTCCTTTTTGGGGGGGCCCTGGCCCGAATCTTCACCTCCCTCACGGTGAGACCCCTCCCCAAAAATTCCCAAATCCCAAAACCCCAAAAAAAATCCACCCCCAAAAAAATCCCGGCTCTCAAAACCCACCCAGAACCCCCAAAACCCCCAAATTCTTACCCAAATTCACCCCAAATTCACTCAGGACCCCCCAAAATTCACCCCCCTCACGGTGAGACCCCTCCCCAAAAATTCCCAAATCCCAAAAATTCCCAAATCCCAAAAAATTCCCAAATCCCCCAAAAAATCCCGACTCTCAAAACTCACCCAGAACCCCCAAACCCCCAAATTTTTACCCAAATTCACCCCAAATTCACTCAGGACCCCCCAAAATTCACCCCCCTCATGGTGAGACCCCTCCCCAAAAATTCCCAAATCCCAAAAATTCCCAAATCCCAAAAATTCTGGATTTTAACCCCCCCAGAATCCCCCAAAACTCCTTTAAATTCCCCAAATTCCTCCTCAAATTCTCTGAAAATCTCAAATCCCCCCCAGGACCCCCCAAAATTCCCCCAAATTTCCCCCAGGACGCCTCAAAATTCCCAAATTCGATCTAAAGTCCCTCAAAATTCCCCTCAAACCCCCAAAATTCCCTTTAAACCTTCCCAGGATCCCCCAAATTTCCCCAAATTTTCCCCAAAAATCCCCCAATCCTCTCAGAACCTTTTAACCCCTCCAAAATCCCCCAAAATCTCGATTTCCCCCCAAAATTCCCCCCCAAAATTCCTCCTAAACTCCATTTAAATCCCCAAATTTCCCCTAAACACAAAAAAATTCCCTCGAGACCCCAAAATTCTCCCCAAAATCCACCCCAAAATCCTGAAATTGCCCCTAAAATCCATTTAAAACTCCAAAATTTCTCCTAAAACCCCCTCAAATCCCTTCCCAGGAACCCCAAAATTCTTTCCAAACCCCCAAATCTCTCTCCAGGACCCCCAAAATTCTTTCAAAAGCCCCAAAATCCCCCAAATTTTCCCCAAATTTCTCCTGCAGGAAACGGGGGATCTCCTTTTGGCCTCCACCTTCGCGGCCTCGGCCACCTGCAACGGGGTCCTGCTGGCCCAGGTGCTGCTTTTGGGGGGCTCCCGGGACCCCCACCCCAAAAAGGAGTGACCCCAAAATCTCCGGCACCCCAAAAACCCCCAAAAATCCCCCCAAAATTGGGATTTTTTTGGGGCTTTCCAGGGGATTTTGGGGCGATGCCGAAGCTCTGGAACCCTCAAAATCTCACCTGGGATGATCCCAAATTTTTATGGGACCCCCTAAAAACCTTCCCGGGATCCCCCAAAACCTCAGGGACCCCAAAATTCCCCCCCGGGACCCCAAAAAATCCCTCGGACCAAGGTGGGGTGGGGCTGCACCCCCCAAGATGGGAAATGGGCGTGGCCAGAACGCCCCTCCCCCACCCCTCAAATAAATTTGGGGTTCCCCCATTCCAGGGGAGTCTCCCCCCCTTTTTTTGGTCGGTAATAAATTAATTATAATCGGTAATTAGCGATAATTAGGGCGGGGGAGGGGTGCGGAGGTGGCGATTGGGTGGGAAAACTCCGCCCCCATTGATAAGCTCCGCCTTCCATTCATAAATCCCGCCCTCCATTGATAAACTCCGCCCCCATTCATAAATCCCGCCCCCATTGATAAACTCCGCCCTCCATTCACAAACCGTCTTGGCCACGCCCCCATTGAGCGCTCTCGCTTCTGATTGGCTGCCGCTCCTGTGACCGTTCCCACGCGTTTTTCCGACCCCAAAACCCCCCAAAATCTCCCCAAATTCCAACTCCGCGGGGATCTCCGTCCTCCGGCACCCCCAAAATCCCACCCATGACCCCCCCAAATCCCCCTGACACCCCAAACTCCCCATTTAACCCCACAACGTCCTCTTCCAATCCCAAAAATTCCCTAAAAAAATCCCCCAAAATTTTGGGGGTCCCCCCACCCCCAAATTCCCCTCCCATCCCCCCCCAATCCCGAACCTCCGGCGTCTCCATCGCTTTATTCCCACAATTCCATAATTTCTATGCAAAATACTCTCATCTCCCCTCCCCCCCTTTTTTCCCACGCCGAGGGAGGGGGGAGGGGGAGGGGCCCGGGGGGGGGAGGGGAGGAACCCCAAACCCCTCCCCCCCCCTCCCCAAACCCCCCCCTCCCCTCCCCCCAATTTTCGGGGCCGGGAGGGGCCGATTCGGGGGCCCCTCGGGGCGTTACAAATATAGAGCTTAAATATGTACAAAAAAACCCCAAAGAGTCCAAATTTCGGGGGCTGTTCCCCCCCAAAAACCACCGGAGAAGTCCCAAAAAAAAACCAAAAAAAACCAAAAAAAACCAAAAAAACAAAAAAAAACCACCAAACCCCTCCCCCACCGTGTTGGGAATCCCGGCGGGGTCTGGGGGGGTTTTCCTGTGGGTTTTGGGGGGTCGGGGGCGGTTTTGGGGTCCCCCCCGGCCCTAGAGCCGCTCGCGGGCCGGGACCCAAATGAACGGTCCTGAGAGGTCCTCGATGACGCGCTTCACTTTGTGGTAAATCTCCTCGAAGCTGTCGCCTTCCACCATGGCTGCGCCGAAAAATGGGATTTTAGGGGGGTTTTGGGGGAATTTTGGGGGGTTTGGGGTGGGTGGGGATAAATAAAATGGGGATTTTGGGGGGGTTTGGGGTGGTTAGAGATCATTGAAGGAGAATAAAAAAGGGATTTTAGGGGAATTTCGGGGATTTTGGGGAGGTTTGGGGTGGTTAGTGATCATTAAAGGAGAATAAAAAAGGGATTTTAGGGGAATTTCAGCGATTTGGGGGTTTTGGAGTGGGTGGAGATAAATAAAATGGGGATTTTGGGGGAATTTCGGGGGGTTTAGGGGGGTGGGGATAAATAAAATGGGGATTTTAGGGGAATTTCAGGGGGTTTGGGGGGGTGGGGATAAATAAAATGGAATTTTGGGGGAATTTTGGGGATTTTGGGGAGGTTCGGGGCAGGTGGAGATAAATAAAAAGGGGATTTTGGGGGGGGTTTGGGTGGTTAGAGATCATTGAAGGAGAATAAAAAAGGGATTTTAGGGGAATTTTGGGGAGGTCTGGGGCAGGTAGAGACTTTTGGAGATAAATAAAAAGAGGATTTGAGGGGAAATTCGGGGATTTTGGGGGGTTTGGGGGGGTGGGGATAAATAAAATGGGGATTTGAGGGAAATTTTGGGGATTTTGGGGGGGTTTGGGGCAGGTAGAGACTTGGAGATTAATAAAAAGGGGATTTGGGGGGAATTTCGGGGATTTTGGAGAGGTTCGGGGTGGTTAGAGACCTTTGGAAGGCAAGAAAAGGGATTTTAGGGGAATTTCAGCGATTTCGGGGGGTTTGGGATGGGTGGAGATAAATAAAATGGGGATTTTGGTGATTTTGGGGAGGTTTGGGATGGGTGGAAATAAATAAAAAGGGGATTTTGGGGGGGTTCGGGGTGGTTAGAGACCTTTGAAGGAGATTAAAAAAGGGATTTTAGGGGAATTTCGGGGGGTTTGGGACAGGTGGAGATAAATAAAATGGGGATTTGAGGGGAATTTTGGGGGGTTTGGGGGGTTTGGGATGGGTGGGGATAAATAAAATGGGGATATGAGGGGAATTTCGGGGGGTTTGGGGAGGTTCGGGGTGGTTAGAGATCATTGAAAGAGAATAAAAAAGGGATTTGAGGGGAATTTCGGGAATTTTTGGGGTGTTTGGGGTGGGTAGAAACCTTTACAGTTGGAAAAAAAAGGGATTTTAGGGGAATTTCGGGGATTTTGGGGAGGTTTGGGGGGGTTTGGGGAAGGCAGAGATCTTTGTAGGGTAAGAAAAGGGAATTTTAGGGGCATTTTAGGGGAATTTTGGGAGGTTTGGGGCAGGTGGAGATAAATAAAATGGGGATTTTGGGGGGGTGTGGGGCAGGTAGAGACCTTTATAGGGGGGGAAATAAAAAATAAAAAGGGATTTTAGGGGAATTTTGGGGATTTTTGGGTGGTCCGAGGTGTATCCCAGGTGTGCCCAGGTGTGCCCAGGTGTATCCCAGCTGTGCCCAGGTGTATCCCAGCTGTGCCCAGGTGTATCCCAGGTGAATCCCAGCTGTGCCCAGGTGTAACCCAGCAGTGCCCAGCTGTGCCCAGGTGTGACCCAGGTGTATCCCAGCTGTACCCAGCAGTGCCCAGGTGTGCCCAGGTGTGTCCCAGCTGTGCCCAGGTGTATCCCAGGTGTGCTCAGGTGTATCCCAGCCGTGCCCAGCCGTGCCCAGGTGTGCCCACCTGAGAAGCACTCGGTGAACTCCTGCTCCAGCTTGGTGGCTCTGTCGAACGCTTTCCGTGCCTGCTCCTCGCTGACGCGCTTGGAGATCTCCCTGCGGGGGCGGAGCCAGGTGGGGACACGCCCACCTCACCTGGACACGCCCTGAACCTCCCAGACACGCCCATCCCACTTGGCCACGCCCACAACCCCCACACAGCCACGCCCAAAGCCACACCCATCACACCTGGGCACACCCAAATACCCAAAAGGTGCCCACTGGCCACGCCCACCTCACCTGGTCATGCCCACCTCACCTGGCCACACCACAGTTCCCAAAAAGTGCCCACTGGACACGCCCAGTTCACCTGGACACGCCCAAAATTCCACAGAGTTCCCCATCAATCCCTGGCCACGCCCACTGACACGCCCAGCACACCTGGCTGTGCCCCCAGGTGTGCCCGGGTGTGCCCCCAGGTGTGCCAGGTGTGCCCAGGTGTGCCCAGGTGACTCACAGCACGTTCTGCAGGGATTTGGGTGCCCCAAAACCCCCCAAAGTCCCCCCAGAATCACTGCCCAGGTGTACCCAGGTGTGCCCAGGTGCCCCCAGGTGTGCCCAGGTGTGCCAGGTGACTCACAGCACGTTCTGCAGGGATTTGGGCCGGATGAAGATGGCGATCGGGTGCAGTTGCGCCGCCTGGAGCCGCCGCACCGCGTTGGCCGACACGTCCAGGATGCAGTGCTTGCCCTGCGGGTGGCACAGGTGAGCTCAGGTGGGCACAGGTGTGCCCCAGGTGTGCCCCAGGTGAGCTCAGGTGTGCCCAGGTGTGCCCCAGGTGTGCCCAGGTGTGCCCCAGGTGAGCTCACATGTGCCCCAGGTATGCCCAGGTGTATCCCAGATGTATCCCAGCGGTACCCAGCAGTACCCAGGTGTACCCAGGTGTGCCCAGGTGTGCCCAGCTGTGCCCCAGGTGTGCCCAGGTGTGCCCCAGGTGTGCCCAGGTGTGCCCCAGGTACCCCCATTTCCCCCCAGACACATCCAGGATGCAGTGCTTGCCCTGCGGGTGGCACAGGTGTGCCCAGGTGTGCCCAGGTGTGCCCAGCAGTACCCAGGTGTATCCCAGGTGTATCTCAGCTGTGCCCAGGTGTGCCCAGGTGTGCCCAGCTGTGCCCAGGCGTGTCCCAGGTGTGCCCAGGTGTGTCCAGCTGTATCCTAGCCATGCCCAGGTGTACCCAGGTGTGCCCAGGTGTATCCCAGCTGTGCCCAGGTGTATCCCAGCTGTGCCCAGGTGTGTCCAGCTGTATCCTAGCCATGCCCAGGTGTACCCAGGTGTGCCCAGGTGTATCCCAGGTGTGCCCAGCAGTGCCCAGGTATACCCAGGTGTATCCCAGCCATGCCCAGGTGTGCCCAGGTGTGCCCAGGTGTATCCCAGGTGTGCCCAGCTGTATCCCAACAGTACCCAGCAGTGCCCAGGTGTACCCAGCATTACCCAGGTGTGCCCAGGTGTATCCCAGCAGTGCCCAGCTGTGCCCAGGTGTGCCCAGGTGTACCCAGGTGTGCCCAGGTGTACCCAGCCATGCCCAGCCGTGCCCAGGTGCCCCCAGGTGTGCCCAGGTGCTCACCTGCTCCGCCACCTCGCGCACGGACTGCACGCTGGTGCCGTACAGGTGACTGTTGTACTGCCCCGCCCCAGGTGTGCCCATGTGTGCCCAGGTGTGCCCAGGTGTGTCCAGGTGTACTCAGGTGTATCCCAGGTGTATCCCAGGTGTATCCCAGGTGTATCCCAGCCGTGCCCAGGTGTATCCCAGGGATATCCCAGGTGTACCCAGGTGTATCCCAGCCATGCCCAGGTGTATCCCAGGTGTATCCCAGGTGTACCCAGGTGTGCCCAGCTGTGCCCAGGTGTATCCCAGGTGTATCCCAGCAGTGCCCAGGTGTGCCCAGGTGTATCCCAGCTGTGCCCAGGGTTGCCCAGGTGTGACCCAGGTGTATCCCAGCTGTGCCCAGGTGTATCCCAGCTGTACCCAGGTGTGTCACAGGTGTGCCCAGCTGTGCCCCAGGTGTGCCCAGGTGTGCCCAGGTGTATCCCAGCTGTGCCCAGCTGTGCCCAGGTGTATCCCAGGTGTGCCCAGCTGTGCCCAGGTGTACTCCAGCAGTGCCCAGCAGTACCCAGCTGTGCCCAGGTGTATCCCAGGTGTATCCCAGCAGTACCCAGGTGTATCCCAGCAGTACCCAGGTGTGCCCAGGTGTATCCCAGGTGTATCCCAGGTGTGCCCAGCTGTGCCCAGGTGCCCCCAGGTGCCCCCAGGTGCCCCCAGGTGTGCCCAGGTGTGCTCACCTGCTCCGCCACCTCGCGCACGGACTGCACGCTGGTGCCGTACAGGTGACTGTTGTACTGCCCCGCCTCGATGAACTTGTGGCCCTGGATGTCCTTCTCCATCCGCTCCCGCGAGGCCACGAAGTGATAATCGCGGCCGTCCACCTCGTACTCGCGCTTGGGCCGCGTCGTGTCTGCAGGTGAGACAGGTGAGACACACCTGGGACAGGTGAGACACACCTGGGACAGGTAATGGATGTTAAATGTGGGGTAAATGTGGGATAAACGGGGCCCAGGTGTGCCCAGGTGTGCCAATCACAGCCATTGACCTCTGCGTCGTGTCTGCAGGTGAGACAGGTGAGACACACCTGGGGCAGGTGAGACACACCTGGGACAGGTAAAAACCCCCAAAAAGTGGGATAAATGGGGCCCAGGTGTGATAATCACGGCCATCGACCTCGTACTCGCGCTTGGGCCGCGTCGTGTCTGCAGGTGAGACAGGTGAGACACACCTGGGGCAGGTGAGACACACCTGGGACAGGTGAGACACACCTGGGGCAGGTAACACCCCCAAAAAGTGGGATAAATGTGGGATAAATGTGGGATAATCGGTGTCCAGGTGTGCCCAGGTGTGCCAATCGCAGCCATTGACCTCTGCGTCGTGTCTGCAGTGGGACAGGTGAGACACACCTGGGACAGGTAATGCGTGTTAAATGTGGGATAAATTTGGGATAAATGTGGGATAAATGTGGGATAAATGGGGCCCAGGTGTGCCCAGGTGTGTTCCTGATGCTGCCAGCTGTGCCCAGGTGTATCCCAGCTGTGCCCAGCTGTGTCCAGGTGTGCCCAGGTGTGTTCCTGATGCCCCCAAGTACCCCCAGGTGTATCTCAGGTGTGCCCAGGATTATTCCAGGTGTGCCCAGGTGTGCCCAGGTGTTACCCAGGTGTATCTCAGGTGTGCCCAGGTGTAGCCCAGGTTTGCCCAGGTTTATTCCAGGTGTGCCCAGGTGCCCCCAGGTGTATCTCAGGTGTGCCCAGCTGTGCCCAGGTGTGCCCAGGTGCCCCCAGGTGTATCTCAGGTGTGCACAGGTGTGCCCAGGTGTGCCCAGGTGTGCCCAGGTGACTCACGGGGGACGCAGGATCTGAATTTTTCGGGGAATTCCGACAGGGGCTCCCCGTGTGTCCCCCCCAGGTGTGCCCAGGTGTGCCCAGGTGTGCCCAGGTGTGCCCCAGGTGTGCCCAGGATTATCCCAGGTGTGCCCAGGTGTATTCCAGGTGTGCCCAGATGCCCCCAGGTGCCCCCAGATGCCCCCAGGTGACTCACGGGGGACGCAGGATCCGAATTTTTCGGGGAATTCCGACAGGAGGTCGTCGTTGACGCGATCCTTGGTGGGGCCCAGGATGATGATCGGCCGCGCGTAGTGAACTGGGGAGGGAAAAATTCCCAAAATTTCCCCAAAATTCCCCAAAATTCCCCAAATTCCGAAGGGGGAAACCCCAAAATCCCGGGGGAACCCCAAAATCCCGGGATTTCAGCCCAAAATTCACCTTCCATCTGCGTCACCGTCTCGTAGCTCAGCACGGCGTCCTCGCGGCCTGCGGAGATCCGCGGATTTTGGGGGGTTTTGGGAATTTTGGGGGATTTTGGGGAATTTTTGGCATTTTTTGGGATTTTATTGTGAATTTTTTGGGATTTTTGGGGGGATTTTTGGAGATTTTTTGGGAATTTTTTAGGGAATTTTGGGGATTTTATGGGAATTTTTGGGGGATTTTTTGGGGGGGAATTTTGGGGGATTTTTTTGATTTTTGGGGATTTTTTGGGAATTTTTAAAGATTTTTTGGGGGGGATTTTTGAGGGGATTTTTGGAGATTTTTCTGGGGATTTTTTGGGGTTTTTTGGGGGGAATTTTTTAGGATTTTTTGGGGGATTTTGGAGATTTTTGGGGGGCATCTTTTGGGGGATTTTGGGGGATTTTTTGGGGGGTTTTGGGGATTTTTTTGCAGGGGGATTTTTGTGATTTTTTTTTTTTTGGGGGGAGGATTTTCGGGACTTTTTTGGATTTTGGGTGGAATTTTGGGAATTTTTGGAGATTTTTTTGGGGGAGAATTTTGGGGATTTGGGGGAGGGAATTTTGGGAATTTTTTGAGGGAATTTTGGGATCTTTTGGGGAAAATTTTGGGAATTTTTGGGGGAATTTTGGGGATTTTTTGGGCCCCACCTTGAGCCCCCGGCCCCCGATCTTTGGCCTTGAGCCGCGTCCACTCCCGGCGCTCCACCCTGCAACCAGTACGGACCAGTATAAACCAGTACAGACCAGTACGGACCAGTAAACACCAGTAAGGACCAGTACAGACCAGTAAGAACCAGTAAGGATCAGTAAGAACCAGTATAAACCAGTAGGGACCAGTAAACACCAGTAAGGACCAGTCCCCTCCCAGTAGCCACCAGTAAGGCTCCAGTTCCTTCCCAGTGGCTCCCAGTAAATCCCAGTGACACCAGTAAGGCTCCAGTGCCCTCCCAGTACAAACCAGTACAAACCAGTGCCATTGAACCCCATTGGAACCGCTCCAAATCCACTCCCAGTACAAACCAGTACAAACCAGTGCCATTAAACCCCATTGGAACTGCTCCAAATCCACTCCCAGTATAAACCAGTACAAACCAGTCCCTCCCAGTGCCATTAGAACCCATTGGAACTCCCTGGTTCTGGCTCCCAGTGCCCCCAGGCTCGCTCCCAGTACAAACCAGTGGCTCCCAGTATAAACCAGTGACTCCCAGTGCTCCTAAACTCCATCCCAGTCCCTCCCAGTCCCTCCCAGTGCCATTAGAGCCCATTAAAACAGAACAGAGCTCGCTCCCAGTAACTCCCAGTGACTCCCAGTACAAACCAGTGCCCCTAAACTCCATCCCAGTGCCCTCCCAGTCCCTCCCAGCACCCTCCAAGTGCCTCCCAGTCCCTCCCAGTGCCCTCCCAGTGCCATTAGAGCCCATTGGAACAGAACAGAACTCACTCCCAGTGACTCCCAGTACAAACCAGTGGCTCCCAGTACAAACCAGTGCCCCTAAACTCCATCCCAGTCCCTCCCAGTGCCTCCCAGTGCCATTAGAGCCCATTGGAACTCCCTGGTTCTGGCTCCCAGTGCCCCCAGATTTGCTCCCAGTACAAACCAGTGACTCCCAGTACAAACCAGTGCTCCTAAACTCCATCCCAGTCCCTCCCAGTCCTTCCCAGTGCCCTCCCAGTCCCTCCCAGTCCCTCCCAGTCCCTCCCAGTGCCATTAAACCCCATTGGAACTCCCTGGTTCTGGCTCCCAGTGCCCCCAGACTCGCTCCCAGTACAAACCAGTGACTCCCAGCAGCTCCCAGTACAAACCAGTACAAACCAGTGACTCCCAGTATAAACTAGTGACTCCCAGTGCTCCTAAACTCCATCCCAGTCCCTCCCAGTCCCTCCCAGTGCCCTCCCAGTACCTCCCAGTGCCATTAGAGCCCATTAGAACAGAACAGAGCTCGCTCCCAGTGACTCCCAGTGCAAACCAGTACAAACCAGTGGCTCCCAGTACAAACCAGTGACTCCCAGTACAAACCAGTGGCTCCCAGTACAAACCAGTGCTCCTAAACTCCATCCCAGTGCCCTCCCAGTCCCTCCCAGTGCCATTAAACCCTATTGGAACTCCCTGGTTCTGGCTCCCAGTGACTCCCAGTGTCTCCCAGTACAAACCAGTGGCTCCCAGTACAAACCAGTACAAACCAGTGCCCCTAAACTCCATCCCAGTCCATCCCAGTCCCTCCCAGTCCCTCCCAGTGCCATTAAACCCCATTAGAACAGAACAGAACTCACTCCCAGTGCCCCCAGATTTGCTCCCAGTACAAACCAGTGGCTCCCAGTGGCTCCCAGTACAAACCAGTGACTCCCAGCAGCTCCCAGTACAAACCAGTACAAACCAGTGGGAGCAGGGTCTCACCGGCGCTTGCTGGGCACGAAGCCGATGTCGGGGGGCTGCTGGGGGGGCAGCACCAGCCGGGCCTGCCACCACTCCTCGTCGGAGGCGTCCAGCACGTGCAGCACGTCCCCGAAGCGGAAACTCAGCGCCTGGCTCAGGAAGCCCACGTCCTTGGCCTTGTCGTAGTCAAACAGGGCCCTGGTGGCATTGTCACCTCGGTGTCACCTCCCCGGGGTCAGCCCAGTTTGTCCCAGTTTGTCCCAGTTTGTCCCAGTACAGCCCATTCCATTCCATTCCATCCCATCCCATCCCTGTGTCCCCATTCCCCTCCCCACGTCCTTGGCCTTGTCGTAGTCAAACAGGGCCCTGGTGGCATTGTCACCTCTGTCACCTCTGTGTCACCTCCCTGGGGTCCTCCCAGTTCATCCCAGTACAGCCCAGTACAGCCCAGTACAGCCCAGTTCATCCCAGTACAGCCCAGAGCTCCCGGTGTCCCTTATTGTCCCCATTCCCCTCCCCACGTCCTTGGCCTTGTCGTAGTCAAACAGGGCCCTGGTGGCATTGTCACCTCGGTGTCACCTCCCCGGGGTCAGCCCAGTATAAACCAGTTCATCCCAGTTTGTCCCAGTACATCCCAGTATAGCTCAGTTCGTCCTATTCCATCCCATTCCATCCCAGTGTCCCCATTCCCCTCCCCACGTCCTTGGCCTTGTCGTAGTCAAACAGGGCCCTGGTGGCATTGTCACCTCGGTGTCACCGCTGTGTCACCTCCCTGGGGTCAGCCCAGTTCATCCCAGTTTGTCCCAGTTTGTCCCAGTTTGTCCCAGTTCATCCCAGTACAGCCCATCCCATCCCATTCCATCCCGGTGTCCCCATTCCCCTCCCCACGTCCTTGGCCTTGTCGTAGTCAAACAGGGCCCTGGTGGCATTGTCACCTCGGTGTCACCGCTGTGTCACCTCCCTGGGGTCAGCCCAGTTCATCCCAGTTTGTCCCAGTTCATCCCAGTTTGTCCCAGTACAGCCCATTCCATCCCATTCCATCCCAGTGTCCCCATTCCCCTCCCCACGTCCTTGGCCTTGTCGTAGTCAAACAGGGCCCTGGTGGCATTGTCACCTCGGTGTCACCTCTGTCACCTCTGTGTCACCTCCCCAGGGTCATCCCAGTTCATCCCAGTTCGTCCCAGTATAAACCAGTATGAACCAGTATGAACCAGTTCAGCCCAGTGTCCCTCAATGTCTCAAATATCCCAGAAGTCGTCCAAAATTCCCAAGTCCCCCAAATGTCCCCAAATGTCCCCAAATGTCCCCAAATGTCCCCAAGTGTCCCCAAGATCCCGAATCCCTCAAATCTGAAAAATCACGGAAAAAAATTCACCAAAAAATCACAAAAATTCACAAAAAAACTCCCAAAAAACCCCAAAAATCCTAAAAAATCCCAAATCCCCTCGATGTCCCCAAATGTCCCCAAATGTCCCCAAGATCCCAAATGTCCCAAGTTTGGAAAATCTCTCCAAAAATACTGGAAAAAAATCACCAACAAATTGCCAAAAATTTACAAAAAATTGCCAAAAATCGCTAAAAAATAGCAAAAAAAATAGCTAAAAAAATCCTAAAATTTCCAAAAAAAATCCCAAAAACCGCAAATGTCCCCAAGATCCCAAATGTCCCAGTTGTGGAAAATGTCCACAAAAATCGTGGGAAAAATCACCAAAAAATCACAAAAAATCACAAAAATTCACAAAAAATCGCTAAAAAATCCCAAAATTTCCCAAAAAACCCCAAAATCCCAAAAACCCCAAATGTCCCCAAGTGTCCCCGATGTCCCCACCGGACGTAGAAGCCGCGCTTGGGGTCGCTGCGCAGGGAGGCGCTGCCGGAGCCGAGAGAGCCCAAAAATCCCAAAAAAATCCCAAAAAAATCCCAAAAAATGCCAAAAATCCCAAAAACCCCAAAATCCCAAATATCCTCAAATGTCCCCAAGATCCCAAATGTCCCAATTTTGGAAAATCTCTCCAAAAATCGTGGGAAAAATCACCAAAAAATCACCAAAAATTCACCAAAGAAATCGCTACAAAAATCACTAAAAAAATCACTAAAAAATCCAAAATTTCCCCAAAATTTCCCAAAAACCCCAAATGTCCCCAAGATCCCAAATGTCCCAAGTTTGGAAAATCTCTCCATAAATGGTGGCAAAAATGGCCAAGAATTCACTAAAAAAATCACCAAAAAATCACCAAAAAATCACAAAAATTCACAAAAAATCGCTAAAAAATCCCAAAAATTCCCAAAAACCCCAAATCCCAAATGTCCCCAAATGTCCCCAAGTGTCCCCAAATGTCCCCAAGTGTCCCCACCGGACGTAGAAGCCGCGCTTGGGGTCGCTGCGCAGGGAGGCGCTGCCGGAGCCGAGGCTGCTGCTCAGGAGCTGCTCCCGCAGGTCGTGGATCTTGGCCTCGAAGCGGCCGTACTCTGAAAAGGGATTTTGGGGTGAATTCCGGGGATTTTGGGAAAATCCGGAATTTTGGGGTCATTGGGGGACTCAGGACATTGAGGGGATTTGGGGATTTTTGGGGATTTTTGGGGATTTTTTGGGATGTTTGGGGGATCTTGGCCTCGAAGCGGCCGTACTCTGAAATCAGGGATTTTGGGGTGAATTCCCGGGATTTTGGGAAAATCCGGAATTTTGGGGTCATTGGGGGATCCAGGACATTGAGGGGATTTGGGATATTTGGGGATTTTTAAGGATATTTCAGGGATATTTGGGGGATCTTGGCCTCGAATCGGCCGTACTCTGAAAGGGATTTTGGGGTGAATTCCCGGGATTTTGGGAAAATCCGGAATTTTGGGGTCATTGGGAGATCCAAGACATTGATGGGATTTGGAGAAGTTTGGGATTTTTTGGGATTTTGGGGGATATTTGGGGATTTTTTAGGATATTTGGGGGATCTTGGCCTCGAAGCAGCTGTACACTGAAATGGGAATTTGGGGTGAATTCCCGGGATTTTGGGAAAATCGGGAATTTTGGGGAGTTTGGGGGACTCAGGACATGGAGGGGATTTGGGATATTTGGGCATTTGAGGATTTTTGGGATTTTTTTGGGGCATTTTTTGGGGATGTTTCGGGGTCTTGGCCTCAAAGTGGCCGTACTCTGAAATGAGGGATTTTGGGGTGAATTCCCGGGATTTTGGGAAAATCCGGAATTTTGGGGTCATTGGGATGAAGGAGGGGTTTGGGGGATTTCAGGGAGTTTGGGAATTTTGGGATATTTGGGGGAATATTTGGGATATTTGGAGGATATTTGGGGGATCTTGGCCTTGAAGCGGCCGTACTCTGAAACGGATTTTGGGGTGAATTCCCGGGATTTTGGGAAAATCCGGAATTTTGGGGTCATTGGGGGATTCAGGACATTGAGGGGATTTGGGATATTTGGGGATTTTTTGGGGTATTTGGGGATTTTGGGGGATTTTTGGGGATTTTTGGGGATATTTGGGGGATCTTGGCCTCAAAGCGGCCGTACTCTGAAATGGGATTTTGGGGTGAATTCCCGGGATTTTGGGAAAATCCGGAATTTTGGGGTGTTTGGGGGATTCAGGACATTGAAGGACATTTGGGGACATTTGGGGACATTTGGGGACACTCCCGGTGTCACCTTTGGGGCAGTGCTGGGCCATGATCGTCACTGGGGGCACCCTGGGGACACCTTTGGGGACCCTTGGGGACACTCAGGGACCCTCAGGGACATTTGGGGACCCTCGGGGACCCTCGGGGACATTTGGGGACGGCGCTGTCACCTTCGGGCCGGTACTGGGCCACGATTGTCACCGACTGTCCCGCGTTCTTCAGGGCCAGCGCCGCCTGCTCGTGGGTGGCACCGCGCAGATCCACCCCGTTCACCTGCGGGGACACGCGGTGGCACTCGGGGACACGCGGTGGCACTCGGGGACACGCGGTGGCACTCGGGGACAGTGACAGGATGGGGAAATGGGGAAAAAATGGGAGAAAATGGGGAAAAACTGGGGGGAAATGAGGAAAATTGGGGGGAAAATGGGGGAAAAAGGACATTTGGGGACATGTGGTGGCACTTGGGGACACGCGGTGGCACTTGGGGACAGCGAGGGGATGGGGAAATGGGGGAAAATTGGGAGAAAAGGGGGAAAAACTGACATTTGGGGACATTTGGGGACATTTGGGGACATTCAGGGACACCTGGGACAGGTGGGGACATGCGGTGGCACTTGGGGACACACGGTGGCACTCAGGGACAGTGACAGGATGGGGAAATGGGGGAAAAATGGGAGAAAATGGGGAAAAATTGGGGGGAAATCAGGAAAATTGGGGGGAAATGGGGGAAAAAAGACATTTGGGGACATTTGGGACAGGTGGGGACATGTGGTGGCACTTGGGGACATGAGGTGGCACTTGGGGACATGCGGTGGCACTTGGGGACACGCGGTGGCACTTGGGGACAGTGACAGGATGGGGAAATGGGGGAAAAATGGGAGAAAATGGGGGAAAATGGGAAAAAATGGGGGAAAATAAGGAAAATTGGGGGGGAAATGGGGGAGAAAATGACATTTGGGGACATTTGGGGACGTTTGGGGACGTTTGGGGACATTAAAGGACATTTGGGGACACTCTGGGGACACCAGAGATGATCTGAGACCCCTTCCCATGATGAGGATGATGATGGTGATGACCAAAAACCCCAAAAACCTCCAAAAAAACCCCAAAATAACCCCAAACCGCCCCATTCCACCGCCCTGGCCGGTGTCCCCAGATGTCCCCAGGTGTCCCCAAGTGTCCCCAAGTGCCACCAAGGGGCTGTGACACCCCAGGGACACTCTGGGGGTGACCCATGACCCTTTCTCATGATGACGATGATGACGGTGATGACCAAAAACCCCAAAAAAAACCCAAATAACCCCAAAACCCCCCAAACTGTCTCATGCCACCGCCCTGACCAGTGTCCCCAAGTGTCCCCAAGTGCCACCAAGGGGCTGTGACACCCCAGGGACACTCCGGGGGTGACCCATGACCCTTTCTCATGATGAGGATGATGATGGTGATGACCAAAAACCCCAAAAAAACCCAAAAAAACCCAAAAAAACCCAAAAAAACTCCAAAATAACCCCAAACCGCCCCATTCCACCACCCTGACCGGTGTCCCCAGGTGTCCCCAGGTGTCCCCAAGTGTCCCCAGGGCCACCCACCGAGAGGATCTGGTCGCCCTTGCGCAGCTCCCCGCTGAGGTCGGCCGGGCCGCCGGCGAGGATGAAGGAGATGAAGATCCCCTCACCATCCTCACCACCAACGATGTTGAAGCCGAGACCGGTGGAGCCGCGCGGGATCACGATGCGCCGCGGGTCCCTGGGACACGGGACAGAGGGGACATTGGGGACATTTGGGGACATTGGGGACATTGGGGGATTTGGGGGATTTGGGGGATTGGGGACATTGGAGCCACTCAGGATCACGATGCGCCGCGGGTCCCTGGGACACGGGGACATTTGGGGACATTGGGGGCATTGGGGACATTGGGGACATTTGGGGACACTGAGGACATTGGGGGGATTGGGGACATTGGGGGGGTTGGGGACATTTGGGGCATTGGGGACAGCGGGGACGTTGGGGACATTTGGGGACACTGGGGGGATTTGGGGCATTTGGGGGGATTTGGGGACATTGGGACATTTGGGGACATTGGGGACATTGGGGGATTGGGGACATTGGGGGCACTGGGGGGATTTGGGGACATTTAAGGATTGGGGACATTGGGGACATTGGGGACATTGGGGGGTTGGGGACATTGGGGACATTGGGGACATTGGGGACATTGGGGACATTGGGGGGATTTGGGGGATTGGGGATATTGTGGGGGTTTGGGGGGTTGGGGTCCCTGGGGCACGGGGACAGAGGGGGGTTGGGGACATTTGGGGACATTGGGGGATTGGGGACACTGGGGACATTGGGGACATTGGGGGGGTGGGGACAGTGGGGACATTGGGGATATTTGGGGGGATTTGGGGACATCGGGGACACTGGGGACGTTGGGGACATTGGGGACATTGGGGACATTGGGGACATTGGGGACATTGGGGACATTGGGGGGATTTGGGGGATTGGGGACATTGGGGACACTGGGGACATTTGGGGACATTGGGGACATTGGGGGGATTTGGGGGATTGGGGACATTGGGGACATCGGGGACATTGGGGACATTGGGGACATTGGGGACATCGGGGACATTGGGGGGATTGGGGACATTTGGGACAGCGGGAGGGATGGGGACATTGGGGACATTGAGGGGGATTGGGGGGGTTGGGGACATCAGGGTCACTGGGGGGATTTGGGGACATTGGGAGGTTTGGGGACACTGGGGACAATGGGGACATTTGGGGTGATTTGGGACATTTGGGGGGGTTGGGGACATTTGGGGACATCGGGGACATTGAGGGCATTGGGGACATCATTGGGGACACTGGGGACATTGGGGGCATTGGGGACATTTGGGGATTGGGGACATTGGGGGCACTGGGGACAGTGGGGACATTGGGGACAGCGGGAGGGATGGGGACATTGGGGACAGCGGGAGGGATGGGGACATTGGGGACATTGAGGGGGGTTGGGGACATTGGGGACATTGGGGGGGTCGGGGACATTGGGGACATTGGGGGGATTGGGGACATCGGGATCATTGGGGACATTGGGATCATTGGGGACATTGGGGACATTGGGGGGATTGGGGACAGTGGGGACATTGGGGACAGCGGGAGGGATGGGGACATTGGGGACATTGGGGGGACATTGGGGACATTGGGGGCATTGGGGACATTGGGGACATTGGGGGTTGGGGACATTGGGGGGATTGGGGACATTGGGGACGTTTGGGGATTTGGGGACACTGGGAACACTTGGAGGTTTGGAGGAATTTGGGACATTTGGGGACATTTAGGGATTTGGGGATATTGGGGGGATTTGGGGACATTTGGGGGATTGGGAACATTTGGGGACATTTGGGGACATCATGGATGACGTCCTCCAGGCTGATCTTGTTCACCTTGGGGAGCCCCTGGGTGGGGTGGGGACAGTTTGGGGACACTGGGGACAGCCCTGGAGACATTTGGGGACATTGGGGACATCATGGGGACGCTGGGGACATCAGTGACACTTGGGGACACTTGGGGACATTGGGGACAGACCTGGGGACACTTGGGGACCCTTGGGGACACTGGGGACAGACCTGGGGACGTCGTCGTCGGGCAGCAGCTCCTTGGGGCCTTGGGGACATCCCTGAGTGACCCTGAGTGACCCTGAGTGACCCTTGGGGACATCCTGGGGACGCTAGGGACATCAGTGACCCCTGGGGACACTTGGTGACACTTGGGGACATTGGGGACAGACCTGGGGACGTCGTCGTCGGGCAGCAGCTCCTTGGGGCCGGGCGAGAAGCGCCGTGGGGACGTCGGGGTCAGCGCCGGGGGGAATTCGGGGCCCAGGAAACTCTGGGGGGGCAGCTCCGAGTCCAGGTGGGCCGAGTAGGCTGGGGACAGTTGGGGACAGTTGGGGACAGTTGGGGACAGTTGGGGACATCAGGGGACATCAGGGACATGGCACAGTGTCGGAGGAATCGAGGACATTTGAGACATCGGGGACACCGAGGGACATCGGGGACACGGAGGATGGGGAGGGGCAGCTCCGAGTCCAGGGGGGTTGGGGACATTTGGGGACATTTGAGGACATCAGGGGACAGTTGGGGACATCAGGGGACAGTTGAGGACATCAAGGGACATCAGGGGACATCAGGGACATGGTGCAGTGTCGGAGGAATCGAGGACATTTGGGACATTGGGGACACCGAGGGTGGGGAGGGGCAGCCCCGAGTCCAGGGGGCTTGGGGACATTTGGGGACAGTTGGGGACATCAAGGGACAGTTGGGGACACTGAGAAAATTTAGGACATTCGGGGATAAAGGGACGCAAAGGGACATTGGGGACATTGGGGACAAGGACAGGGACACAAGGACGGGGGGGGGGGGGGGAGTCCCACCGCTGATGTCCCTCCCACAATGTCCCCAAATGTCCCCAAATCCCTGATGTCCCCAATGTCCCCAAATGTCCCCCAGTGTCCCCAAATCCCTGATGTCGCCAATGTCCCCAAATCCCCCCCAATGTCCCCAATCCCCCTGGTGTCCCCAACCCCTCTGATGTCCCCAAATGTCCCCAATGTCCCTGATCCCCCCAGTGTCCCCAAAGTCCCCAACACCCCCAATGTCCCCAAATCCCCCCCAGTGTCCCCAAATCCCTGATGTCCCCAAATCCCCCCCAGTGTCCCCAATGTCCCCAAATGTCCCCCCAATGTCCCCAAATCCCCCCCAGTGTCCCCAAATCCCTGATGTCCCCAATGTCCCCACCCCCCCGGTGTCCCCAATGTCCCCAACCTGCCCAATGTCCCCAATGTCCCCAATGTCCCCAACCCTCTCAGTGTCCCTGGTGTCCCCAACCCCCATGATGTCCTCAGTGTCCCCAACCCCCCCAATGTCCCCAACCCCCCCCAATGTCCCCGATGTCCCCAACCCCCATGATGTCCCCAATGTCCCCAATGTCCCCATCATCCTCAACATCCCCAATGTCCCCAACCCCCTTGATGTCCCTAATGTCCCTTAACCCACCCGATGTCCCCGATGTCCCCAACCTGCCCAATGTCACTGATGTCCCCACCCCCTCAATGTCCCCGATGTCCCCAACCCCCCTGGTGTCCCTGATGTCCCAAGTCCCCACGATGTCCCCAATGTCCCCAACCCCCCCAATGTCCCCAGTGTCCCCAATGTCCCCTGATGTCCCCAACCTGCCTGATGTCCCTGATGTCCCCAACCCCTCGATGTCCCCAATGTCCCCAATGTCCCCAATGCCCCTCAATGTCCCTGGTGTCCCCAACCTGCCCGATGTCCCCGATGCCCCCAACCCCCCCGATGTCCCCAATGCCCCCAATGTCCCCAATGTCCCCAACCTCCCCAGTGTCCCCAATGTCCCCAACCCCCTCAATGTCCCCAATGTCCCCAACCCCCATGGTGTCCCCAATGTCCCCAACCCCCTCAATGTCCCCAAATGTTCCCAACCTCCCCAATGTCCCCATCATCCTCAACATCCCCTATGTCCCCAACCCCCTTGATGTCCCTAATGTCCCTTAAGCCACCCGGTGTCCCCAATGCCCCCCGGTGTCCCCGGTGTCCCCGCGTGGCGCTCACAGCCGGTGACGTCGGGGGGCCCGTAGCTGTCCCCGAGGCCGGGCACGGTGGCCTTGGCCACGCGCAGGTACACCACGTCGTAGGTGTTCTTCAGCGCCGCCACCGCGTCCTCGTGCATGACGTCCTCCAGGCTGACGTTGTTCACCTGGGGACAGCGGGGACGTTGGGGACATCGGGGACATTGGGGGGATTTTGGGGTATTGGGGACATTGGGGAGATTTTGGGGTATTGGGGACATTGTTCATGACGTCCTCCAGGTTGACATTGTTCACCTGGGGACAGTGGGGATGTTGGGGACATTGAGGGGGTTTGGGGACACTGGGGAAATTGGGGACATTGGGGGGTTGGGGACATTGGGGACATTGGAGACATTGGGGAGATTTTGGGGTATTGGAACATTGGGGACATTGGGGACATTGGGGACACTGGGGGGTTTGGGGACGTTGGGGACATCGGGGAGATTTTGGGGTATTGGGGACATTGGGGACATTGGGACATTTTGGGGGTGTTGGGGACATTGGGGACATTGGGGAGATTTTGGGGTATTGGGGACATTGGGGACATTGGGGACATTGGGGACATTGGGACATTTTGGGGGGTTTGGGGACATTGGGGGGATTGGGGAGATTTTGGGGTATTGGGGACATTGGGGACATTGGGACATTTTGGGGGTGTTGGGGACATTGGGGACACTGGGGACATCAGGGACATTGGGGACATCAGGGACATTGGGGAGATTTTGGAGTATTGGGGACATTGGGGACACTGGGGACATTTTGGGGGGGTTGGGGACATTGGGGACATTGGGGGGATTGGGGACACTGGGGGGATTTTGGTGCATTTGGGACATTTGGGGACGTTGGAGACATTGGGTGGCACTGGGGACATGGGGGAGATTTTGGGACATTTGGGACATTTGGGGACATTGTTCATGACGTCCTCCAGGCTGACGTTGTTCACCTGGGGACATCGGGGACGTTGGGGACATTGAGGGGCTTTGGGGACACTGGGGACACTGGGGACATTGGGGCCAGAGGATTTGGGGACACACGGACACAGGGAGGGGACATGAGGACAGCAGTGCCACCACCCCACCTTGGCCACCCCCTCCCGATGTCCCCAACCCCCCGATGTCCCTGATGTCCCCAATCCCCCTGGTGTCCCCCAGCTCCCCTGGTGTCCCCCAGTGTCCCCCGATGTCCCTGGTGTTCCCCCCGATGTCCCCAATGTCCCGGATGTCCCCGGTTTCCCCCCCAGTGTCCCCTGGTGTCCCTGGTGTCCCCCAATGTCCCCAACCCCCCCAATGTCCCCAACCCCAACAATGTCCCCAATGTCCCCAACCCCCCCAATGTCCCCAATGTCCCCAACCCCCGCAATGTCCCCAATGTCCCCAATGTCCCCCCCTGATGTCCCCAGTCCCCCTTTAACCCCTGATGTCCCCAGCCCCCCTGATGTCCCTGATGTCCTGAACCCCCCAATGTCCCCGGTGTCCTCAACTCCCCTGATGTCCCCATCCCCCCGATGTCCCCACCCCCCTGGTGTCCCCAATGTCCCCATCCCCCCCAATGTCCCCAACTCCCCCCTGATGTCCCCAGTGTCCCCATCCCCGCAAATGTCCCCGATGTCCCCAATCCCCCCCCATGTCCCCGATGTCCCTAATGTCCCCAACTACCCCCTGATGTCCCCAATGTCCCCAATTCGCCCAATGTCCCCAACTCCCCCCCGATGTCCCCAATGTCCCCATCCCTCCCAATGTCCCCAATGTCCCCGATGTCCCCAATGTCTCCAATGTCCCCATCCCCCCCGATGTCCCCAGTGTCCCCGATGTCCCCAATGTCCCCAATGTCCCCATCCCCCCCGATGTCCCCAGTGTCCCCGATGTCCCCAATGTCCCCAATGTCCCCATCCCCCCCGATGTCCCCGCTGTCCCCGATGTCCCCAATCCCCCCGATGTCCCCGCTGTCCCCGCTGTCCCCAATGTCCCCGGTGTCCCCAACTCACGGCCAGGATCTTGTCCCCGACCTGCAGCCGCCCGTCCTTGTGCGCCGCCCCCCCCTCGATGACCTTGGTGACGTAGATGCTGTTGTCCCCCGGGATGTGCTGGTTGCCCACGCCCCCCGCGATGCTGAACCCCAGACCTGCCCGGGGGGGGACACCGGTGTCACCTCCCCCCCGCTGTCACCCCCCCACCGTGGTGTCACCTCTGTCACCGTTGTCACCTTTGTCACCGTTATCACCTTTGTCACCTCCTTTTTGTTGTTGTTCCCTCCTTGTCACCTCCCTGTTGTCACCTCCCCATTGTCACCTCCCCCACTTTAACACCCCCATTGTCACCTCCCATTGTCACCCCAATTGTCACCTCTCCCCCACTGTCACCCCCCCACCCGTGGTGTCACCTCTGTCACCATTGTCACCGTTGTCACCCCCCTTTTGTTGTTGTTCCCTCCTTGTCACCTCCCCTTTGTCACCTCCCCTTTGTCATCTCCCCATTGTCACCTCCCATTGTCACCCTGACTGTCACCTCCCCCCATTGTCACCCCCCCCCCCGTGGTGTCACCTCTGTCACGGCTGTCAACTTTGTCACCTCCTTTTTGTTGTTGTTCCCTCCTTGTCACCTCCCCTTTGTCACCTCCCATTGTCACCTTTCATTGTCACCCCCTGATTGTCACCTCCCACCCGCTGTCACCCCCCCACCCCGTGGTGTCACCTCTGTCACCGTTTCACTTTTGTCACCTTTGTCACCCCCCTTTTGTTGTTTTTCCCTCCTTGTCACCTCCCCTTTGTCACCTTCCCCTGGGTCCTGTCACCTCCCCTTTGTCACCTCCCCTTTGTCACCTCCCCTTTGTCACCTTTCATTGTCACCTCCCATTGTCACTCTGATTGTCACCTCCCCCCCGCTGTCACCCCCCCACCCGTGGTGTCACCTCTGTCACCTCTGTCACCGTTGTCACCGTTGTCAACGTTGTCACCTCCCTTTTGTTGTTGTTCCCTCCTTGTCACCTCCCCTTTGTCACCTCCCCTTTGTCACCTCCCCTTTGTCACCTCCCCATTGTCACTTTCCACTGTCACCTCCCCCATTGTCACTTCCCATTGTCACCTCCCATTGTCACCTCCCCTCACTGTCACCCCCCACCCCGTGGTGTCACCTCTGTCACCGCTGTCATCGTTGTCACCCCCATTGTGTTGTTGTTCCCTCTTTGTCACCTCCCCTTTGTCACCTCCCCCTGGGTCCTGTCACCTCCCATTGTCACCTGTGTCACCTTTTCATTGTCACCTCCATTGTCACCTCCCATTGTCACCTGTGTCACCTCCCATTGTCACCTCCCATTGTCACCTGTGTCACCTTTTCATTGTCACCTCCATTGTCACCTCCCATTGTCACCTGTGTCACCTCCCATTGTCACCTCCCATTGTCACCTGTATCACCTTCTCATTGTCACCTGTGTCACCTGTGTCACCTCTGCCATTGTCACCTGTGTCACCTTTTCATTGTCACCTTCTCATTGTCACCTCCCATTGTCACCTTTTCATTGTCACCTTTGTCACCTGTGTCACCTCCCATTGTCACCTGTGCCATTGTCACCTGTGTCACCTTTTCATTGTCACCTGTGTCACTGCCCATTGCCACGCCCCATTGTCACCTTTTCATTGTCACCTTTTCATTGTCACCATTGTCACCTGTGTCACCTCCCATTGTCACCTCCCTGTGTCCCCCCCCCTTTGTCACCTCCCCTGTTGTCCCCCTGGGAGGTCCCAAAATGCCCCCAAATGTCCCCAAATTTGGGGCTCCTGGGGGGGATTTTGGGCTCCTGGGATGAATTTTGGGCTGAATTTGGACAATTTTGGGGTCCCCGAGGTGGATTTTGGGGATTTTTGGGGGAATTTTGGGGGGAATTTTGGGCTCCTGGGATGAATTTTGGGCTCAATTTGTGAAATTTTGGGGTCCTCGAGGTGGATTTTGGGGTCCTGGGGTGGATCTTGGGGTCCCCAAGGTGGATTTTGGGTGGATTTAGGGAATTTTTGGGATCCCCGAGGAGGATTTTGGGCTGAATTTGGGAAATTTTGGGATCCCCAAGGTGGGTTTGGGGGGATTTAAGAGAATTTTGGTGTCCCTGAGGTGGATTTTGGGGATTTTGGGGGAATTTTGGGGTCCCCAAGGTGGATTTTGGGAACCTGGGCTGGATTTTGGGATCCCTGAGGTGAATTTTTTGGGGGATTTAGGGAATTTTAGGGTCCTGGGCTGGATTTTGGGGGAATTTTGGGTTTTAAGAACAATTTTGGGGTTCCCAGGAGGATTTCGGGGTTCTTGGGGTGGATTTTGGAAATTTTGGGATGGATTTTGGGGATTTTGAAATGGATTTTGGGGATTTTGAAATGGATTTTGGGGATTTTTGAGTTCCTGGATGGATTCTGGGCTGGATTTCAGGGATTTCTCCCCCAGGGCCATTTTGGGCTGGATTTTGGGGATTTTGGGGTGGATTTGGGGGATTTGGGGCTGGATTTCAGGGATTTTGGCGTGGATTTTGGGGATTTCAGTAATTTCAGTTTTCCCAGGTGGATTTTGGTGTTCCCAGGATGATTTTTGGGCTGGATTTTGGGGATTTCGTGCCTGATTTTTGTGATTTTTGAGCCAGATTTGAGGGCTTTCGAGCCAGATTTGAGGGATTTCGAGCCAGATTTGGGGGATTTCGATCCGGATTTTGGGGGTTTCAGGAATTTTGGGGCGCTTTTGGGGTTTTTGGGGTACCTTTGGGCCCTTTGATGAGTTTGACCTCCACCACCCTCTCGGCCGGGACCTTCCTCCTCCTCCTCCTCCCCCAGGGGCATTTTGGGCTGGATTTTGGGGTGGATTTCGGGGATTTTGGGATGGATTTCAGAGATTTCAAGCTGGATTTTGGGGATTTCAGGAATTTTGGGGTTCCCAGGTGAATTTTGGGGTCCTGGGGTAGATTTTGGGTCGATTTTGCAGATCCTCAGGCGGATTTTGAGGCTCCCAGGATGATTTTTGGGCTGGATTTTGGGGATTTTGAGCCAGATTTGGAGGATTTCACACCAGATTTGGGGGATTTCACACCGGATTTGGGGGATTTCGATCCGGATTTGGGGGATTTCAGGAATTTTGGGGCGCTTTTGGGGTTTTTGGGGTACCTTTGGGCCCTTTGATGAGTTTGACCTCCACCACCCTCTCGGCCGGGACCTTCCTCCTCATCACGTAGAGCCGAACCACGGCCCCGGCCTCCTTCAGCGCCTCCACGGCCGCCGAGTGCGGCACCTCCCGGACATCGGCCTCGTTCACGAACAGGATGCTGTCGTTCACCCTGGTTTGGGGAAAATTCAGGGGATTTTGGGAAAAATCCGGAATTTTTGGGATTTTTTTGGGCATTTTAGGAGGTTTGGAGGGGATTTTGGGGGGTTTTGGGGCGGTTCCAGGAGGGTTTTGGGGGGATTTGGGGCAGTTTTTGGGGCACCTCTGGGACATCGGCCTCGTTCACCAAAAGGATGCTGTCATTGACCCTGGTTTGGGGAAAATTCAGGGGATTTTGGGAAAAAATCCGGAATTTTTGGGATTTTTTTGGGCATTTTGGGGGGTTTCAGGCTGGTATGGGGCAGTTTTGGGGGGATTCTGGGGGGAATTGCGGCAGTTTTTGGGGCACCTCCCGCACGTCCGCCTCGTTCACGAACAGGATGCTGTCATTGACCCTGGTTTGGGGAAAATTCGGGGCATTTTGGGAAAAAATCCGAAATTTTTGGGATTTTTTTGGGCATTTTGGGGGGTTTTTGGGGGATTTTGGGGCGGTTCCAAGAGGGTTTTGGGGGGATTTGGGGCAGTTTTTGGGACACCTCCCGGACATCGGCCTCGTTCACAAACAGGATGCTGTAATTGACCCTGGTTTGGGGAAAATTTAGGAGATTTTGGGAAAAAATCCGGAATTTTTGGGATTTTTTTGGGCATTTTAGGAGGTTTGGAAGGGATTTTGGGGGGTTTTGGGGCGGTTCCAAGAGGGTTTTGGGGGGATTTGGGGCAGTTTTTGGGGCACCTCCCAGACATCGGCCTCGTTCACGAACAGGATGCTGTCATTCACCCTGGTTTGGGGAAAATTCGGAGCATTTTGGGAAAAAATCCAGAATTTTTGGGATTTTTTGGGCATTTCAGGAGGTTTGGAAGGGATTTTGGGGGGTTTTGGGGTGGTTTTGGGGCGGTTCCAGGAGGGTTTTGGGGCACCTCCCGCACATCGGCCTCGTTCATGAACAGGATGCTGTCATTGACCCTGGTTTGGGGAAAATTCGGGGGATTTTGGGAAAAAATCCGGAATTTTTGGGCATTTTGGGGGGTTTCAGGCTGCTTTGGGGCGGTTTGGGGCAGTTTTGGGGGGATTTGGGGCAGTTTTTGGGGCACCTCCCGCACATCCGCCTCGTTCACGAACAGGATGCTGTCATTGACCCTGGTTTGGGGAAAATTCGGGGAATTTTGGGAAAAAATCCGGAATTTTTGGGATTTTTTGGGGCATTTTAGGAGGTCTGGAGGGGATTTGGGGGGGTTTTGGGGGGTTTTGGGGCGATTCCAGGAGGGTTTTGGGGCACCTCCCGCACGTCCGCCTCGTTCACCAACAGGATGCTGTCGTTCACCCTGGTTTGGGGAAAATTCAGGGGATTTTGGGAAAAAATCCGCAATTTTTGGGATTTTTTTGGGGCATTTTGGGGTGTTTCAGGCTGGTATGGGGCAGTTTTGGGGGGATTTGGGGCAGTTTTTGGGGCACCTCCCGCACTTCGGCCTCGTTCACGAACAGGATGCTGTCATTGACCCTGGTTTGGGGAAAATTCAGGGGATTTTGGGAAAAATTCCGCAATTTTTGGGATTTTTTTGGGGCATTTTGGGGGGTTTGGAGGAGATTTTGGGGGGTTTTGGGGTGGTTTTGGGGCGGTTCCAGGAGGGTTTTGGGGGCACCTCCCGGACATCGGCCTCGTTCACAAACAGGATGCTGTCGTTGACCCTGATTTGGGGAAAATTCGGGGGATTTTGGGAAAAATTCCACAATTTTTGGGATTTTTTTGGGCATTTCGGGGGGTTTCAGGCTGGTATGGGGCAGTTTTGGGGGGATTTGGGGCAGTTTTTGGGGCACCTCCAGGACATTGGCCTTGTTCACGAACAGGATGCTGTCATTGACCCTGGTTTGGGGAAAATTCGGGGGATTTTGGGAAAAATTCCGGAATTTTTGGGGAATTTTTGGGCATTTTGGGGGGTTTGGAAGAGATTTTGGGGGGTTTTGGGGGGTTTTGGGGCGGTTCCAGGAGGGTTTTGGGGGCACCTCCCGGACATCGGCCTTGTTCACGAACAGGATGCTGTCGTTCACCCTGGTTTGGGGAAAATTCGGGGGATTTTGGGAAAAAATCCGGAATTTTGGGGATTTTTTGGGCATTTTGGGGGGTTTCAGGCTGGTATGGGGCAGTTTTGGGGGAATTTGGGGCAGTTTTGGGGCGGTTCCAGGAGGGTTTTTGGGGCACCTCCCGCACATCGGCCTCGTTCACGAACAGGATGCTGTCGTTCACCCTGGTTTGGGGAGAATTTAGGAGATTTTGGGAAAAAATCCGGAATTTTTGGGATTTTTTTAGGCATTTTGGGGGGTTTTTGGGGAATTTTGGGGGGTTTTGGGGCGGTTCCAGGAGGGTTTTGGGGGCACCTCCCGGACATCGGCCTCGTTCACAAACAGGATGCTGTCATTGACCCTGGTTTGGGGAAAATTCAGGGGATTTTGGGAAAAAATCCGGAATTTTTGGGATTTTTTTGGGGCATTTTGGGGGGTTTCAGGCTGGTATGGGACCATATGGGGGGGATTTTGGGGGGATTTGGGGCAGTTTTGGGGGCACCTCCCGGACATCGGCCTCATTCACCAACAGGATGCTGTCGTTGACCCTGGTTTGGGGAAAATTCGGGGGATTTTGGGAAAAATTCCGGAATTTTGGGGATTTTTTTGGGCACTTTAGGAGGTTTGGAGGGGATTTTAGGGGGTTTTGGGGTGGTTTTGGGGTGGTTCCAGGAGGGTTTTGGGGGCACCTCCCGCACATCGGCCTCGTTCACGAACAGGATGCTGTCATTGACCCTGGTTTGGGGAAAATTCAGGGGATTTTGGGAAAAAATCCGGAATTTTTGGGATTTTTTTGGGCATTTTAGGAGGTTTTTGGGGGATTTTGGGGGGTTTTGGGGCGATTCCAGGAGGGTTTTGGGGGCATGTCCCAGACATAGGCCTCGTTCACGAACAGGATGCTGTCGTTCACCCTGGTTTGGGGAGAATTCGGGGCATTTTGGGAAAAATTCCGGAATTTTTGGGATTTTTTTGGGCATTTTGGGGGGTTTTTGGGGAATTTAGGGGGGTTTTGGGGCGATTCCAGGAGGGTTTTGGGGGGATTTGGGGCAGTTTTTGGGGGCACCTCCCGCACATCGGCCTCGTTCTCGAACAGGATGCTGTCATTGACCCTGGTTTGGGGAAAATTTAGGGGATTTTGGGAAAAAATCCCGAATTTTTGGGATTTTTTGGGCGTTTTAGGAGGTTTCAGGCTGGTATGGGGCCCTATGGGGCAGTTTTGGGGGGATTTTGGGAAGTTTTGGGGGCACCTCCCGCACGTCCGCCTCGTTCACGAACAGGATGCTGTCGTTGACCCTGGTTTGGGGAAAATTCAGGGGATTTTGGGAAAAATTCCGGAATTTTTGGGAATTTTTGGGCATTTTAGGAGGTTTGGAAGGGATTTTGGGGGGTTTTGGGGCGGTTCCAGGAGGGTTTTGGGGGCACCTCCCCGACATCGGCCTCGTTCACCAACAGGATGCTGTCGTTCACCCTGGTTTGGGGAAAATTCAGGGGATTTTGGGAAAAAATCCGGAATTTTTGGGATTTTTTTGGGCATTTTGGGGGGTTTCAGGCTGGTATGGGACCATATAGGGGGAATTGGGGCAGTTTTTGGGGCACCTCCCGGACATCGGCCTCGTTCACGAACAGGATGCTGTCGTTCACCCTGGTTTGGGGAAAATTCGGGGGATTTTGGGAAAAATTCCGGAATTTTTGGGATTTTTTTGGGCATTTTGGGGTGTTTCAGGCTGGTATGGGGCCCTATGGGGCAGTTTTGGGGGGATTTGGGGCAGTTTTTGGGGCACCTCCCAGACATCGGCCTCGTTCACGAACAGGATGCTGTCATTGACCCTGGTTTGGGGAAAATTTAGGAGATTTTGGGAAAAAATCCGGAATTTTTGGGATTTTTTTTGGGCATTTTGGGGGGTTTTGGGGCAGTTTTGGGGCGGTTCCAAGAGGGTTCTGGGGGGATTTGGGGCAGTTTTTGGGGCACCTCCCGGACATCGGCCTCGTTCACGAACAGGATGCTGTCATTGACCCTGGTTTGGGGAAAATTCGGGGGATTTTGGGAAAAAAAACGGAATTTTTGGGCATTTTGGGGGGTTTCAGGCTGGTATGGGGCCCTATGGGGCAGTTTTGGGGGGATTTGGGGCAGTTTTGGGGCACCTCCCGGACATCGGCCTCGTTCACAAACAGGATGCTGTCATTGACCCTGGTTTGGGGAAAATTCGGGGGATTTTGGGAAAAAATCCGGAATTTTTGGGATTTTTTTGGGCGTTTTAGGAGGTTTGGAAGGGATTTTGGGGGGTTTTGGGGCGGTTCCAGGAGGGTTTTGGGGGCACCTCCCGGACATCGGCCTCGTTCATGAACAGGATGCTGTCATTGACCCTGGTTTGGGGAAAATTCGGGGGATTTTGGGAAAAAATCCGGAATTTTTGGGCTTTTTGGGGTGTTTCAGGCTGGTATGGGGCGGTATGGGGGGGATTTTGGGGGGATTTGGGGCAGTTTTTGGAGCACCTCCTGGACATTGGCCTCGTTCACAAACAGGATGCTGTCATTGACCCTGGTTTGGGGAAAATTCGGGGGATTTTGGGAAAAATTCTGGAATTCTGGGGAGTCTAGGGGGTCCTGAGTGGACTTTTGGGGGTCCTGAGCTGAATTTTGGGTGGATTTTGGGTGAATTTTGGGAGATTTTAGGCGATTTGGGGTGATTTTGGGCGATTTCTCACCTGAGCCGCCCGTCCTGGCTGGTAACACCCCCAGGGATGATTTTGGGGTGAATTTGGGGTTTTTGGGGTGGTTTTGGGGGTTTTTGAGGATCCTGAATCTGATTTTGGGGTGATTTTGGGCGATTTTGGGCAATTTCTCACCTGAGCTGCCCGTCCTGGGCGGCGGCGCCCCCGGGGATGATTTTGGGGTTTTTGGGGGTGTTTTTTGGGGTTTTTGAGGATCATGAATCTGATTTTGGGGTGATTTTGGGGTAATTTTGGGAGATTTTTTGGGATTTCTCACCTGAGCCGCCCGTCCTGGGCCGCGGCGCCCCCGGGGATGATTTTGGGGTTTTTGGGGGTGTTTTTTGGGGTTTTTGAGGATCATGAAGCTGATTTTGGGGTAATTTTGGGTGATTTTGGGCGATTTCTCACCTGAGCCGCCCGTCCTGGGCCGCGGCGCCCCCGGGGATGATTTTGGTGATGAATTTTGGGGGTTTTGGGATGGTTTTTAGGGTTTTTGGGGTTTTTGAGGATCCTGAAGCTGATTTTGGGGTGATTTTGGGCGATTTTGGGCGATTTCTCACCTGAGCCGCCCGTCCTGGGCCGCGGCGCCCCCGGGGATGATTTTGGGGTGAATTTTGGGAGTTTTGGGGGTGTTTTTTGGGGGTTTTGGGGTTTTTGAGGGTCCTGAAGCTGATTTTGGGGTGATTTTGGGCGATTTTGGGCGATTTCTCACCTGAGCCGCCCGTCCTGGGCAGCGGCGCCCCCGGGGATGATTTTGGGGTGAATTTTGGGGTTTTTGGGGGTGGTTTGGGGGGTTTTTGATGGTCCTGAAGCTGATTTTGGGGTGATTTTGGGGTGATTTTGGGTGATTTTGGGCGATTTCTCACCTGAGCCGCCCGTCCTGGGCCGCGGCGCCCCCGGGGATGATTTTGGGGTGAATTTTGGGGTTTTTGGGGGTGTTTTTTGGGGGTTTTTGAGGATCCTGAAGCTGATTTTGGGATTATTTTGGGGTGATTTGGGGTGATTTTGGGCGATTTCTCACCTGAGCCGCCCGTCCTGGGCCGCGGCGCCCCCGGGGATGATTTTGGGGTGAATTTTGGGGTTTTGCGGGTGGTTTTTGGGGTTTTGGGGGTGGTTTTGGGGGTTTTTGAGGATCCTGAAGCTGATTTTGGGATTATTTTGGGGTGATTTTGGGCGATTTTGGGCGATTTCTCACCTGAGCCGCCCGTCCAGGGCAGCGGCACCCCCGGGGATGATTTTGGGGTGAATTTTGGGGTTTTTGGGGTTTTTAGGGGTGGTTTTGGGGGTTTTTGAGGATCCTGAAGCTGATTTTGGGATTATTTTGGGGTGATTTTGGGCGATTTTGGGCGATTTCTCACCTGAGCCGCCCGTCCTGGGCCGCGGCGCCCCCGGGGATGATTTTGGTGATGAAGATCCCGGGGTCGTCCCCGACGTGGGGGTTGTCGGTGCCCCCCGCGATGCTGAACCCCAACCCCGAGTTCCCCTGCGGGAATTTGGGGTCCTGTTAGACCCAAAACACCCCAAAAAACCCCCAAAATCCACCCCCAGAACCCCCAGAACAGCAAAACCTCAAAAAAACCAAAAAAAAACTCAAAAACCACATAAAAATCCCTACAAAAACAACAAAAAAAGGGAATTTTGGGACGTTTTTGGGGGTCCCAGATGGATTTTGGGGGTCCCCACGAGCCAAAAAAATCCCCCAAAAAAACTCCCCCAAAAATCCCCAAACTTTAAACCCCAAATTCCCCCAAAAACCCCACCAAAAATCTCAAAAAAAAAAAAAAAGAAACATAAAAGAAGAATTTGGGGTTTGGGGATGATTTTGGGCTTTTTTTGGGGTTCCCAGGTGGATTTTTGGGCTGATTTTGGGCGATTTTGGGGGCCCCAGGTGGATTTTGGGGATTTTTTGGGGTTCCCAGATGGATTTTTGGGGATTTTTTGGGGTTCCCAGATGGATTTTTGGGCTGGTTTTGGGCAATTTTGGGGCCCCCCCAGTGGATTTTGGGATATTTTTGGGGTTCCCAGGTGGATTTTGGGGATTTTTTTTGTTTCCATTTGAATTTTGGGCTGATTTTGGGCATTTTTGGGGCTCCTGACTCTGATTTTGGGGTTCCCAGGTGGATTTTGGGCATATTTTGGGGGCATTTTGGGGGATTTTGGGGCATTTTTTGGGATTTTGGGGCTCTCACCCTCTCCAGAGTGATCTCCTCATATTCCATCTCCCCCTCGGTGCCGTTCACCTGCCAAAAAAAAGAGAATTTTTGGGATTTGGGGAGAAAATTTGGGGGATTTGGGGTGAATTTGGGCGGGATTTTGAGGGAAATTTGGGGGGATTTGGGGAGGATTTTTGGGAGTGGATTTTGAGGGAATTTTGGGGATTTTTGGGGGTGTTTTGGGGGAATTTTGGGAGGATTTGGAAGGAATTTTGGGCTGGATTTGGTTGAAATTTGATGGAATTTTGGAGGGAATTTTAATGGAATTTTGGGGGGAATTTTCGGCTGGATTTGGTCTAAATTTGATGGAATTTTGGGGCAATTTTGGAGGGATTTTTGAAGGGATTTTGATGGAATTTTTGGGGGAATTTTGGGGTGGATTTGGTCTAAATTCGATGGAATTTTGGAGGGATTTTTGGGGGGAATTTTGAGGGAATTTTGGGCTGAATTTGGTCTAAATTTGATGGAATTTTGGGGAAATTCTGGAAGGATTTTCGGAGGAATTCGATGGAATTTTGGGATAATTTTCAAGGGAATTTTGGGGGGATTTTGGGGGAATTTTGGGGCAATTTTTGGAGGAATTCGATGGAATTTTGGGACGATTTTGGAGGGAATTTTGGGGCTGATTCCCGAGGGATCCGGGGTGGATTTTGGGCAATTCCAGGCGGGATTTTTGGGGAGATTTTGGGGGTTTTTGGGGCTCACATAGGCCGGGGCCTCCAGGGTGTCGGTGTTGACGATGACGGGGGGAGAATTGGCCTGGGGGGGGAGGGGAGGTCAGAGACCCCCAAACCCCCCCCAAATATCCCCAAATTCCCAAAAAAAATTCCCAAAAAATCCCCCAAATTCCCCGATCCACCCCCAACCCTTCCAAAAGAACCCAAAATCCCCAAAATTCCACCCCAAAACTCCAAATTTCCCACAAAAATCGAGCCAAATTCCGCCCCAATTTCCCCCCAAATTCCCAAATTTCCCCCAAATTCCTCAAAATTCCCAAATTTTCCACAAATTCCCCCCAAATTCCCCAAATTTTCCACAAATTTTCCCAAAACTCCCCAAATTTTCCCCCAAACTCCAAAATATTCTCCAATTTTTCCCAAAACTCCTCCTGAACTCCCAGATTTTCCCAAAATTTTCCCCAAAACTCCCAAATTTGCCCAAAAATCCCTTGAAATTCCCAAATATTTCACAAACTCCCCCCCATTTTCCCCATCTTCCCCAAAAATCCCCAAATTTTCCACAAAATTACCAAACATTCTCCAAATTTTCCCCCAAAACTCCCCTAATTTTCCAAATTTCCATTAAAATCCCCCAAAATTCCCAATTTTCCCCCAAATTCCCAAATAGTCCCAGAATTTTCACAAATTTCCCCAAAACCCCCCAAATTTTTCCCCAAATTCTGAAACATTCTCCAAGTTTTCCCCAAAATTCCTCCAAAACACCCAAATTCCCCCCAGAAATTCCCAAACATTCCCCAAATTTTCAGCAAAACTCCCAAATTTTTCGCAAATTCCCCCAAAATCCCCTCAAAATTCCCGAATTTTCCCCGAGCTCCTCCCCCCAAATCCCCAAAATGGCCCCGAATTCCCCTCCCCCACCCCAAATTCCCTGGCCCTGCCTCATGTGACGTCATCAGTGACGTCATCACCACGTCTGTGACATCATCGCTGACTGCTATGACATCACCGCTGCCCCCCATGGGGGCGTGGCCTCACAAAAAGGGGGCGTGGCCACCCAAATTACCACGCCACATCCGTGTAAGCTCATTGGGCGGCTGAAAGGGGGCGTGGCCTGACCATATTTGGACATTACCTGTCCACAAAGGGGCGTGGCCTCTAACAGGGGGCGTGGCTTATTCATATATGGAAATTACCTGCCCAAAAAGTGGGCGTGGCCTTACCTGGCTGGGCAGGTGGGCGGGGCTCTGCTCCAGGGGGGGGCTGTCCTCATCTTGGTACCGGTATTTCTGTAATGTATGCAAATTTATGCAGATTTATGCAGATTTATGCAGAGGGATGTGAGAAATAGGCGCGTGTATGTAAATTTTTCTGGTCTATGCAAATGAGGGCGGCGAGATGGCCACGCCCAGTTAATCCCAGTTAATCCCAGTTTGGGATTTGGGGATTGGAAAGGATTAAACTGGGAGGGGCCCAGTGCTCCCAGTATGGAACTGGGAATGGTCCCAGTGCTCCCAGTATGGAACTGGGAATGGTCCCAGTGCTCCCAGTATGGAACTGGGAATGGTCCCAGTGCTCCCAGTATGGAACTGGGGGGTCCCAGTATGGAAATGGGGGGTCCCAGTGCTCCCAGTATGGAACGGGGGGTCCCAGTATGGAACTGGGAATGGTCCCAGTGCTCCCAGTATGGAACTGGGGGGGTCCCAGTGCTCCCAGTATGGAACTGGGAATGGTCCCAGTGCTCCCAGTATGGAACTGGGGGGTCCCAGTGCTCCCATTATGGAACTGGGAATGGTCCCAGTATGGAACTGGGGGGTCCCAGTATGGAACTGGGGGGGTCCCAGTGCTCCCAGTATGGAACTGGGGGGTCCCAGTATGGAACTGGGGGGGTCCCAGTGCTCCCAGTATGGAACTGGGGGGTCCCAGTGCTCCCAGTATGGAACTGGGGGGTCCCAGTGCTCCCAGTATGGAACTGGGGGGTCCCAGTATGGAACTGGGGGGGTCCCAGTGCTCCCAGTATGGAACTGGGGGGTCCCAGTATGGAACTGGGGGGGTCCCAGTGCTCCCAGTATGGAACTGGGGGGTCCCAGTGCTCCCAGTATGGAACTGGGGGGTCCCAGTGCTCCCAGTATGGAACTGGGGGGGTCCCAGTGCTCCCAGTATGGAACTGGGGGGTCCCAGTATGGAACTGGGGGGTCCCAGTATGGAACTGGGGGGTCCCAGTATGGAACTGGGAATGGTCCCAGTGCTCCCAGTATGGAACTGGGGGGTCCCAGTGCTCCCAGTATGGAACTGGGGGGTCCCAGTGCTCCCAGTATGGAACTGGGGGGTCCCAGTATGGAACTGGGGGGTCCCAGTGCTCCCAGTATGGAACTGGGAATGGTCCCAGTGCTCCCAGTATGGAACTGGGGGGTCCCAGTATGGAACTGGGAATGGTCCCAGTGCTCCCAGTATGGAACTGGGAATGGTCCCAGTGCTCCCAGTATGGAACTGGGGGGTCCCAGTGCTCCCAGTATGGGACTGGGGGGTCCCAGTATGGAACTGGGAATGGTCCCAGTGCTCCCAGTATGGAACTGGGAATGGTCCCAGTGCTCCCAGTATGGAACTGGGGGGGTCCCAGTGCTCCCAGTATGGAACTGGGGGGGTCCCAGTGCTCCCAGTATGGAACTGGGGGTCCCAGTATGGAACTGGGGGGTCCCAGTGCTCCCAGTATGGAACTGGGGGGTCCCAGTGCTCCCAGTATGGAACTGGGGGGTCCCAGTGCTCCCAGTATGGAACTGGGGGGGTCTCAGTGCTCCCAGTATGGAACTGGGGGGGTCTCAGTGCTCCCAGTATGGAACTGGGGGGTCCCAGTATGGAACTGGGGGGGTCCCAGTGCTCCCAGTATGGAACTGGGGGGTCCCAGTATGGTCCTAGAGCAGCTCCCAGTGCTCCCAGTATGGTCCAGTGCTGCTCCCAGTGCTCCCAGTGCCCCCAAATCCCCTCCCAGTCCATCCCAGTTCCCCTCCGGTCCATCCCAGTACAAACCAGTACAAACCAGTCCTTCCCAGTGCCCCCCAAATCCCATCCCAGTCCAAGCCAGTCCCTCCCAGTCCAAACCAGTCCCTCCCAGTACAAACCAGTAACCCCAAATCCCCATTTCCCCCATTTTTTCTCCATTTTTAACCCTTTTTTGGCCATTTTTTCTGCATTTCCCCCCCCCAGTCCCCCCCCAGTCCCTCCCAGTACAAACCAGTATAAACCAGTCCCTCCCAGTGCCCCCAGTGGGTCCCACCTTGCAGCCGAAGGCCAGCGAGAGGCTCCGGTCCCTCCAGAGCCCCTCCCAGTGCTCCCAGTGCCCCTTCCCAGTTCATCCCAGTGCCCCGAAATCCCATCCCAGTGCCCCGAAATCCCATCCCAGTCACTCCCAGTCCCTCCCAGTACAAACCAGTACAAACCAGTAACCCCAAATCCCCATTTTTTACCCTTTTTTGGCCATTTTTTCTGCATTTCCCTCCTCCCAGTCCCCCCCAGTCCCCCCCCAGTTGCTCCCAGTATAAACCAGTCCCTCCCAGTGCCCCTAAATCCCATCTCTGTCCCCCTCTAGTCCCTCCCAGTACAAACCAGTACAAACCAGTAACCCCAAATCTCCATTTTCCCCATTTTTTCTCCATTTTTAACCCTTTTTTGGCCATTTTTTCTGCATTTCCCCCCTCCCAGTCCCTCCCAGTACCCCTCCAGTTGCTCCCAGTACAAACCAGTATAAACCAGTGCCGGTCCCACCTTGCAGCCGAAGGCCAGCGAGAGGCTCCGGTCCCTCCAGAGCCCCTCCCAGTGCTCCCAGTGCCCCTTCCCAGTTCATCCCAGTGCCCCTAAATCCCATCCCAGTTCCCCTCCAGTCCCTCCCAGTACAAACCAGTACAAACCAGTAACCCCAAATCCCCATTTTCCCCATTTTTTCTCCATTTTTAACCCTTTTTTAGCCATTTTTTCTGCATTTTTCCTCCTCCCAGTTGCTCCCAGTTGCTCCCAGTATAAACCAGTATAAACCAGTATAAACCAGTGCCGGTCCCACCTTGCAGCCGAAGGCCAGCGAGAGGCTCCGGTCCCTCCAGAGCCCCTCCCAGTGCTCCCAGTGCCCCTTCCCAGTTCATCCCAGTGCCCCTAAATCCCATCCCAGTCCAAACCAGTACAAACCAGTACAAACCAGTAACCCCAAATCCCCATTTTCCCCATTTTTTCTCCGTTTTTAACCCTTTTTTTGCCATTTTTTCTCCATTTCCCCCCCTCTAGTCACCCCCCAGTCCCTCCCAGTACAAACCAGTCCATCCCCAGTCCCTCCCAGTACAAACCAGTACAAACCAGTAACCCCAAATCCCCATTTTCCCCATTTTCCTCAGTTTTTAACTCTTTTTTGCCATTTTTTCTGCATTTCCCCCCACTTTTCCCCCCTCCCAGTCCCTCCCAGTCCCTCCCAGTCCAAACCAGTCCCTAACCATCCCCCTCTAGTCCCTCCCAATACAAACCAGTACAAACCAGTAACCCCAAATCCCCATTTTCCCCATTTTTTCTCTGTTTTTAACCGTTTTTTCGCCATTTTTTCGCCATTTTTCCCTCTCCCAGTCGCTCCCAGTCACCCCCCAGTCCCCCCCAGTCCCTCCCAGTCCAAACCAGTCCCTAACCGTCCCCCTCTAGTCACTCCCAGTACAAACCAGTACAAACCAGTAACCCTAAATCCCCATTTTCCCCGGTTTTTTCTCCGTTTTTAACCCTTTTTTGGCCATTTTTTCTCCATTTTCCCCCCTCCCAGTTGCTCCCAGTTGCTCCCAGTCCCTCCCAGTATAAACCAGTGCCGGTCCCACCTTGCAGCCGAAGGCCAGCGAGAGGCTCCGGTCCCTCCAGACCAGCCGACATTGGCACAGCAGCGGCGAGAAGCACCCGGGACCCCCCCGGGACCCCCCCCCGCAGCCCGGGACCCCCCCCGGGACCCCCGAGCCCAACGGGGCCGGGGCCGCTCCCGCCATCCCCCCCGGGACCCCCCCGGGACCCCCCCGGGATCACCGGGACCCCCCCCGGAGGCTCCGGGATTAACGGGGATTAACGGGGGGGGGAGGGGCGGAGTCTGGGAATGAGCCGGGACCCCCAAAATATCCCCCGGGACCCCCCCCGGGACCCCCAAAATACCCCCGGGACCCCCAGAATAGCACTGGGACCCCCCCCGGGACCCCCCCCCGGCACCGGGACCCCCCCCGGCACCGGGACCCCCCCCCCGGCACCGGGACCCCCCCCCGGAGGCTCCGGGATTAACGGGGATTAACGGGGGGGGGAGGGGAGGGGATAAATGGTGGGGGAGGGGCTCGGGAATGATCCGGGACCCCCCAAATACCCCCCGGGACCCCCAAAAAATACCCCCGGGACCCCCAAAATAGCACCGGGACCCGCCAAATATCCCCCGGGACCCCCCCGGGACCCCCCCCGGGATCACCGGGACCCCCCCCGGAGGCTCCGGGATTAACGGGGATTAACGGTGGGGGGAGGGGCGGGGTCTGGGAATGATCCGGGACCCCCCAAATATCCCCGGGACCCCCAAAATAGCACCGGGACCCCCAAAATAGCACCGGGACCCCCCCGGGACCCCCAAAATACCCCCGGGACCCCCAAAATACCCCCGGGACCCCCCAAAATACCCCCCGGGACCCCCCCGGGACCCCCCCCCGGGCACCGGGACCCCCCCCCGGAGGCTCCGGGATTAACGGGGATTAACGGGGGGGGGAGGGGCGGGGTCTGGGAATGATCCGGGACCCCCCCGGGACCCCCAAAATAGCACCGGGACCCCCCAAAATAGCACCGGGACCCCCCCGGGCACCGGGACCCCCCCCGGAGGCTCCGGGATTACCGGGGATTAACGGGGGGGGGAGGGGAGGGGATAAATGGTGGGGGAGGGGCTCGGGGGGGGTCAGGGGGGGTCCGAGAACGATCCGGGACCCCCAAATATCGCCGGGACCCCCCAAAATACCTCCGGGACCCCCAAATATCGCCGGGACCCCCAAAATATCCCCCGGGACCCCCCAAATACCCCCCGGGACCCCCAAAATACCCCCGAGACCCCCAAAACCACCGAGAGCAGCACCAGGACCCCCAAACGACCCCCAGGACCCCCCAAAAATCATCGAGAGGGTCAGAGAGACCCCCAGGGACCCCCAAGACCATCGAGAGGGACCCCAAAAATCATCGGGAGGGGTCAGAGAGACCCCAAAACTCACAGAGAGACACCCAAGGTCAGAAAGAGACCCCCAAAAACCATCGAGAG